TAACAGTTTCTTAATTAAGTGAAGGTTGCTTCACTATTGGTGCTTTATGAGTCTCATGAGGATTACTGGCTGTCCTCAAGAGGGGGTAAAAAACAGTGGCCAAATGGTCCATAAAACACACTGTGGTCCACAAACTGTGGTCCATTATATCTCCTCTCAAACTACATAAAGTATAAGCTCTGTTTATATGCTACAGTTGGAGATGACAACTTCTCATTGTTTTTTATGAGGGGCATTTCACAAGAGAATGCGTTTAAATTCAGTCAGAGTAGATTTTGCATAGTAAACGATGATCCCCAAGAGGAAACAACTGCTGCCCTCTTTTTTTATATCTGTTTTGTTGCTTTATAAAGCTGTTTACGACGAACTTGTTTCTTTTAAGGCGCTTGGATTGAAAGATTACTCTTGCCAAAGTTATGATTGTTCCCTGGAACTTGCTATTATGTTTATTTGGAAGGGATAATTTGCTCTAGGAATTGCAGTGTCTGTCTATCGGTGGCAATTCTTTTGGATTGCCATGAAATTTTTTACAGACATTTATGGTCCCTAGAAGAAGCGTCTTAATAACTTTGGTGATCCCCTGACTATTTGTGGTTTTGACTGAAAGGGACTACCATGACATTTTACATGGTAAGATGCCAAATATTTGCAATACTAATTAGATTCCCATCAGTATTTTGTATTTGCTAACACAAACATGCTTAGAAGTTTTAACTAACATGCATGTTAGCATGCTAAAATTATATATCCTGTATTTTATGTCTTTGAATCAGCAGTGGAAGATAAATTAAGGAGTACTGAAATCTCTATGAGTTTAGTGCCTTTATTGAGGTACAAATTCTGGTTAAAGGTTAAAACTAACCAACTTGATTTGTGAGCTGAATTCAGTTCAGCTCTCTGTAGAAAACATATTCAAAACCAATTTCATTGTGTACACAGGACAGGAGATTCATTTCATTGTGTACACAGGACAGGAGATTCATTCATGTCTCAAATTGACTTCAAAATTGTTAGCCATTATTTTGAAAAGTTTTGTCTCATATTGTAATTTCTCTGTTTGTTGTTTTTAATGTAAATGAATCACCCTGTTTCGTTTTTCAGATCTGGAATGACTACAAACTCAGATGGAATCCAAAAGATTTTGGAGGAGTCGAGTTTATCCGAGTGCCATCCAACAGGATATGGAAGCCAGACATTGTGCTGTACAACAAGTAAGCATAACAAACTAAAAATCTGGCTCAACAACCTCATTGATTTTTGGGTGCATTTATGTTAAAGGATTGCCAAACAGTGACAAGCTATATCAATCTCCATAGCTGATTTTGCATGGGCTATTTTATGTTTTGCATATTATTAAGGGACTGGAATGGAGGATGCAATTTACTCAAACAATCTTTTTTGATTGATATCACACAATGGTCAATTGATTATATCCTTCAATTTAATCTTCAATCTCTAAACCTTCCCTTTGTGTTCCTCTTTTGTTCTTTCACTCATTCTCTCTCTACAGTGCAGTTGGAGATTTCCAGGTTGATGACAAAACAAAGGCCTTGCTTCGTTACAATGGGGATGTTACCTGGATCCCCCCAGCCATATTCAAGAGCTCCTGCAAGATTGACGTCACTTACTTCCCTTTCGATTACCAAAACTGCACCATGAAGTTTGGCTCCTGGACATACGACAAGGCCAAGATAGATCTGGTGCTAATTGGCTCAACCATCAACCTCAAGGACTTCTGGGAGACTGGGGAGTGGATAATCATTGACGCCCCTGGTTACAAACATGACATTAAGTACAACTGCTGCGAGGAAATCTACACAGATATCACTTACTCTTTGTACATCCGCCGTCTGCCACTGTTCTACACCGTCAACATGATCATCCCCTGCCTCCTCATCTCCTTCCTCACCGTGCTCGTTTTCTACCTGCCGTCTGATTGTGGAGAGAAAATCACTCTGTGTATCTCCGTCCTCCTGTCTTTAACTGTCTTCCTCCTCGTCATAACAGAGACTATCCCCTCTACCTCGCTAGTCATCCCCCTGATTGGAGAGTACCTCCTCTTTACCATGATCTTTGTCACCCTCTCTATTGTCATCACTGTTTTTGTGTTGAACGTCCACTACCGCACACCAAAGACCCACACTATGCCCTGCTGGGTACGCAAAGTGTTCCTGGGATTATTGCCCAGGGTAATGTTCATGACTAGGCCAGAGAGGGACCCTGAGCAAGTGACAACGGCTGGCAATGTTCAGAGCATGCATTCAAGGCCCTGTGCTGTTCATTCATCGGGTACTTTGCAGAAACAGCACAAACCTCAGGCCCTGGCCTCCAGCGTGGTGTCCAGCCTAACAAACCGCCAGCGGCTTTTCAACAACACAGAGCTCACCAATCTCAATAATTTAAGTGGAAACCCAGCAAAAGGTGTAAGCTCTGCGTTCTTGTGCTGCGAGGGCCGGTGTAACTGCTGCTGGCATCAAAAATCCAGCAAACTGCCTGCAGACTCTGGGGGAGGGAGCGGAGGACTGGGCAGCCTGGGGGCGCTGACTGGAGGCAGTGCTGTTGGGGTTGGAGGGGGGAGTCAGTGCTCCAGCTCTGAGTCTCTGGATGGAGGAATAATGCCCCTGTTGCCGCTCTCCCCTGAGGTCAGGGAGGCCATTGAGAGTGTCAGATACATAGCAGAGAACATGAGACTACAGAATGAAGCAAAGGAGGTGAGTGCTCACAATCATAAAAGCATGATAAACTATAGCCTTTACTCTGTAATTTGCTTTTAAGGAAACTATGACAATATTACCATATACTTTCTATATGTTTTTGGTGTGATCCTCTCACAGGTTCAGGATGACTGGAAGTACGTTGCCATGGTTATCGACAGGATCTTCCTGTGGGTTTTTGTCCTTGTGTGCATCCTGGGAACAGCTGGTCTCTTCCTCCAGCCCCTATTGCTTGGAGAGGACATTTGAATCAGTTTCACAAAACTAATACTCCAGACTGTTGAACTGCATAGTATTCGTTAGATTCCTGCTCAGACAGAGAAAATACAGAGGTGGTCCAAAGTTAAGAAGGGCAGATCACTGTGTCTGCCAAATGTTGATGCAAATGGTTTATTGACCGTTTTTTTCACAGATAGAGACGATGATTTTTGTTTGAAGAAGAGTCTTAAGGACTTTCCAATGCTGAGGACATGGCATACAAACAATAGTAAAGACCATATTGTACAAAATTGTTCTGCAGTAAATGGCAATGCAGTCTATAATGCCAAGGCAACACCCAGAATCAAAGATCTGTAATTTTTGTTTTGATGAGTAAATGATACATTTGATCATGTCTTGAATCTAAAGCTCCTAATTTCACATAAAGAAAATATGTACTTACAGTCACAAATGCACCCGTACAAGAAAGCTCAGTGTTTGAATTACCATTATTTTCCATGACAAGTAAATCTTTTTTCTTCTATCTTCATTTAAATTATATGTTATTATTAAGTGCCATGCCAAAAATATATTTGTGTTTATGGCGATAACAGAACAAACTGTATAACATTTTCCACATTTAACATGGATTTCCATGATTCTGGCAACCAAGCAAGGTTGTTGACTGTGTTCAAAGAGTGACATCATGTGGGAATTCCTTGCTACTACAAATGATAGCACGACTTTCTGACAGTAAAAGGAATATGTCACTCAGTTTGCCATACTCTCTGTTGTATCATATTCCCAGTTCTAAAATGTTATGGGAAGTTATACTGATTTAAATTATCTTATGCATAAAGAGAGCTGCTGTTTGATCTGCATAGCATGACCTGGGAGTATTTGATGTGCAAAGAGAAAACGCATCTGTAAATACACTATTCAGTGGTTTTACTTGCATATTTCTGTAAATAAATCTTTAAAATAGTTATGAAAATGTGTAAGCTGGACCTGTATCTGTGTCACTGAGGCTCTGTTTATTACGCTGTTCCACATCCTCTTTGCCCCCTTGGAGCTAACTCAGTTTATTGGATCACAATCAATATAGTGGGCATGTGACGAAGGACCTTATTGGATTCCTCTCTTTTCTCCATCTAACCATTCTTCCTGGCCATGGACAATTTTCGTCTCTCTTTACGCTGCCACTCAATAGCCCAGTGCTAACACCACAGGTCTGATGCTGTCAGAGGTAAGGGTTAAATTCTCACATGTACTTGAAAACTCAAAAAGCCATGTTTCTGTTTTATTTTGCTCCACTTGTGGATAAAATGCACTTAAGACACTTCAAATTATCATAGTCTCCCTGTTAGGTACAAGTTACCAAAAACAGTGTGTCTCCATTTAAAGAGCTGTGGTTATATGACAGGAAAAAATGCGTGCGATGACAGATTTTAAGATTTGCTTGAGTATTTCATCAGCTGATATTCAAAAAGTCTAACTCAAGTGACTCATCCATGTCTGAGCATTGTGCGTGGGGTCTGACTGTCAGTAAGTCAGTGTCTGATTGTTATTATACAAATAACAATCAGAGCAGATGGCGAGCTGTGTGATTACATGAAAATCCAGCCCATATTAATTGAATGCTGGCAGGGAAGCACAGACAGATACTGTATTAGCTCTCTGTCACATCTGATAAGAAACCACTGGCCAATGAATTTAATTAAAGCTCACTCAGAACTCGTGTGGCTGATCTACAGGAGAGCAGGAGATCTACCAAACAGATACTGTATGATGTACAAAACAAACAAGCTTCTAAAGGTATCAGAGAATATCTTCTCTCGTGTCCTTTTGAGAGGTTATGTCTTGCAAAGGTTGACTATGAACAAGGGGGAAAAAAATGAAAATACTTACTTGCCAACCATCGCTAAATATATAAGCATGCATGATTTTGAACTGACAATGTTTAATTTTGGAACAAAATTGTTCAAATGTCACATGACACTGCAGAATGCACAGGAAGTGGTTCATTGTAGTTTACTGTTGCAGCTGTCTGTAGGTGTAGCCAATAAAAGGATAGGCGCCCGACCAGGGTTTCACAAGGTACTGTGGAGGTTGCCTATGGGTGTCACATTGCCTATTACCATGAAAATAATCACCCTTTTTCTATGTAAGTACATTGACAACTGATATTTTTATTATTTGTATTTATAATCGAGTGAACCTTTGTGTGCAAGTATAAGGAGAAAGGATCAATTTCATTTTTGTTTTTCTTCAAGGTGCTCTTGCACATCAAGTCGCAAGCGAAACTAATGGTGAGCTCTCTATCATGAGATGACATCTGTGTGCTGTATTCCTAATGTGATTTCATTGCATTGTATCATTTATCAATACAATGTATGTCTCTGTCAAATCAATGTTACAGATATTTTTCCTGCGAAGATCCTGACCCAACAGAAATCTTTAAGCGAGAATAGTGACCTCTACGTTATCTGCAGCACATTTGGGTTGAAGAAACAGACCGAGGTGTATGTTTATTTATGTAGGAATGATGTTGGAATGATTAAACATATCCAGAAGAAAGAACATAATGATACCACCTTCATCATAAACAGAGTCAGTCTTAATCACAGTGGAAATTACAGCTGTGTTTACTCAACACGTGGTTATTCGCCTCCCGAAGTAACCAAGAAAGCATGCAACCCCATAGAGATTCTGGTTATAGGTAAGGATTTTCATTCCTATAAAAACATTATGTCACTGTTATTTCCCTCCACTCATTTTGTCCTTCTGCCGAACAGCCAATTTTCTCCCTGCAGATATTTCAGTAGCCGGGCCGTTGGCTGTCAGTGAGGGAGACGATGTTGAATTCAGCTGTACTGTGTCTGAAACCCTGCAAACACTGGGTGGATGTCAATTGATCCATTCTTACCTTAAGAGGAATGAGCTCATCCTCCAAGTGCAAACATTTAATGTCACACAGATGGAGGCGACTTTCACCATCCAAGACGCAGTCACGAGGGACTCGGGTAATTACAGCTGTGTGGTGCTGCCATCTAAATGCATCCAAAAGCATGAGAAAACACTCTATGGAAATAACGCAGTATCACTCGAGGTCAAAGGTGAGGGTGTCAGCAACTCGTGATTAGAAAGTGCAACAGAGGCATCTAGAAAAAAATGAAATTAGTTATTCAGATTTTTATTTTTGAAATGATTAAACATATTTATTGAAATACAACCATGTTCTTCATGTTGGGGCTGACATGTCTGTTCTGCTCTCCAGAGAGTTTGTTTCTCCGAGTGATTGTCTCTTGTGGAGTGATAAGCATGATGATAACACTGGGTCTGTGCCTGTGGTGCATCAACAAACCAGGTCAGATGACTGGAGGCAAATCACTCAATTTTAAAGTTCAAATTTTGAATTGTACTTTGGTTCTCCTGTCCTACTGTTACTAATTGATAAAAGAAATGCTTATACATCTCTATGAATTATATTTCCTCAGTGTCTTTAGATATACATTTATGATCCTGATCATACCGAATGCATGGTTTACTTCATTTCACATTTATTCTTTTTTTCTATTTCAACAGGCGGCTTAGCTTTGTGTAATCAACGGTGAGTGTTAATCCAAAAGAGCAGTGGCAAACCTATTAACAGATAGCATAGCCTCATAAACTGGGAGTCACTTGGAGTTTATTTTTTCTCTGTTATTTGTGCTAGACTAGATGCAGGATATTTACACAGGGATCTAAAATATTCTGGATGCACAACTGAACAATCAAATGATGCTGGGCTGATTGAAGGGTTTGCATATACAGTATATCTTGAATTGTGTTTTCTTACAGTGCACCAAGTGAGCAGGCAAATATAGACATGCTGGAGGAACAGCAGGAGCAGACAGAAGAGGGTCTGGAAGCACAAGATGGTATGTTGAAATTGGAATTACAGTAAAGGCATACTCTGGGGAGACTGCAATGAAATTACCTATGATGACTTAGAAAGAAAACACAATCTAGCTACAATATGGTCTGGGCAAATACCTCCCTAGTTATTATTTTTTTCTCTTTACTTTTTTTCTCTAATGCTTCAGATATTTTCATGTGTATGTCTCTCTTCTCTCTTTTACAATATTTTCTTTTTCAATTATCAGGAGATTCTTTCAGCACCGAGGAAGAAGAAGGGTACGAATAAAAAACTATTCTAATACAAATCCTTACTTTATATTAAATCATGTGGGGAGTAATGCTTGCTAAAATATGCGTGGTATATTAAAAAGCTATAATGTTCTAAACTCTGAGAAATAATGCAATTTGTTAAATGAAACTGACCTCTGTTACTGAAAGAGGAAACATTCAAATATGAACTGAACATTTTCACTCACTTTGACTTATATTTTAAAAGTTTACTTTTACAGTTCATCTTGAGAAAGAAAAGATAAGTACAATGGATTTAAATAAAATCTTTCCAAATACATAAACCATAAACTTACTTTTCACAAAAGACTTGCTGCAACATCGTTAATGGTGCACAATTCTTAACAACAACACTATATTATTATTATTATTATTATTATTATTATTATTATTATTATTATTCATTGGCTACATTTTCTCAGGTATCAGAATGTTGTGAATGCTGAGGACAGCACTTACTCTGATGGTTTGGAGGGAGTGTACAGTGTTGCAGGTAAGTGATGAACTACTTTGTTCTATTAGAGGTTTTTATTCTCTATTGAAGGTCATATTCAAGACTATGATTTCTAACATGCAGATGACAGTGAGAATGACTACGATGACAGTGATCACATGTGTGCCAACTAATACATTTTGATTGATAAAGGTACTGTAAAATGTTTAGTTATCATTATAATGAAGGGGCAGAGTCACTCATTTGTTTTTATTGTTTGGATGCTTTGTTTCTCTTTGCATACAAAGCTCAATAACAAGACAACATGGGCAGAAAGATTATAAAAAGAATAAAACATGTCATAAAGTCAACTGGTTAGAAGGCATTACATAGTATGATGCTGCCTGGTTCAGCAGAGCAGGTTTGTCTATCAGTTAGTTCAGTGCATGTTACAGGAAAACCTCATCTTAATTTGTTACAATAGGACAGACCTGAATAGCATTTTGTGGTTAGCTTTCTGACTCACAAGGGCCAATTCTCTCATGACAAATTAAAATAATAACCAAGAAAAAATGCACGCCATCTAACTTTGAACTTCTCAACCACAGATGATTCACCTGCAAGATCAAGTTCAACACATGTGTATGCCAGGTCCTCCAAATATAAATGTTAATTTATAATATGTTAATCGGATTTTATTGTCGGATACATGAATAACTGTAACGCACCCCTGCTTTGTTCTGTCTGTGTCACATTTCATTAAGGTAAGGTAATGTTAAAATGTATAGTGAATGAAGAAGGAACATTTGAACTCCATTATTAGCCTGATCAGTAGTATATGTGGAGGAGGAACTGCTCCTTGTGGTCAAGGGTAAAAGAATGTCCTCATACATTAAATTTTTACATGGATCCTTTCTTTGTTGCAGAAGGTTTCAATTTATTTTTGCCTAATAAATGAAATTAGTGTGTTCCTGCCCCTTTGTGCAATCAGTGCTTTAAAGAATGTACTACAGTTTGTTTTCAATAACAAACACTGCAAGTGTTGTTGTAGTGATTGACTGTACTTTGTAATAAACAGTATAGAAAACAAATCTCTCTATTTAACATTTAATCGCATTTGTTCATTGATGTTAATACTGTCCAAACATGTAAAGCATATGATAATATAACTAAAACTGAAATAAATGGCTGATTTTGTTAAATCAGATATTTGAAATATACTTGGACATACTGTATATGAAAACCATTTAAGAAGAGCCTGATCAATGGTGGAAAAGCACTCTACCTTTACTTCAGTAAAAGTATCTGTACCACAATCTAAAATTCTACTTAGGTAAAGAGTACAGAAGTAGCTAAATGTAGGCCACTGGAAAATATAAATGGTAAAAGGTTCTGGAGGGGAAAAAAGCCCTCCTGAGTGCTACATTATTATACTTTAATTTCTAGATTAATACTGATGCATCAATGCAAAAACATTTTCCTTTTGTTGAATAAAAAAGATCTGCTAAACAAATCTGTATTATTTGATTATTTGTGAAACATTGGATAATTTTACTTCCATAGTCCTCAAACACTTCTTTAAATTATACCATGTTTAGTATGTGCCAAGTAAATGTAGTTCTGATGACTACAGCTACAGAATAAAAGCTTAATTACTTACGTTGTTTTAACTAAAAATTAAAAATAGAAATATTCAGTCTTGCCATTATCAAATTATAGACTAAACACTCGTAGATTTCTTTAAAGAGGTTTAAATAAATGTATTTATTTATTTTGAGGCTTTGGGTTTAGGAACACTACATAGGCATGTGGGGATTAGGGTCTGTGTATGAAGAGGAGATTTAACTAAACACAGCATCAAAAGGGTCTTACCCAATATCCATGTTACACATTGATAATGAATTGCACTTTCCCCCTCTGTCTTTGTTTTCTCTTTTTGTAATGATTAGACACTGTCTAATCAGTAATCTATAGTAGCTGCCTGCACCCACTTTTACCCGAGTGTACCCTTAGGAAAGTTTAACCAAAGAGTTCAATGACCGTATCCGATAAGAAAAGCACTCAATCACTAGCACTGACTGTAATGACTTAGCATGTTCTTTAGCTGATGAGCTACCACTCAAGAGGAGCATCCAGTATATTTGTCACTGCTGCTTTCCTCCCGTCTCTTATTAGTGCTGCAGCTCCTGTGGGAAATACAAGGAGGAGCTGATGTAAAGAATGAAGTTACTACTTTGTCATCAAAAATAGGGAGCAGATGTGTGCAGTGCCGCACACTGAGAGCCATGTTAACCTTTTTGTTTTGCTTGCTATGCAGTTTTTCACTGTAATTTCCATTCTGAACATGTGAAGTCATCATGAGAATTTCCTTTGGAGGAAAACCTATCCCCAAGATTGAAAATGTAATAAAATTGTATCTTATTATGAGTGATTGTAGTATTGCCAGCCTGCATTGAAAAACAAACTTGTAATCACATAGCAAAGTTCTCTGTTAACTTCTAGTCAGCACTTCTAAATGCTTGCTGTGCCTGCTAAACTTGAATCTGGATTATGTATGTCACACTGGTTTTCACCCTGCCCTTCCTTGGAAAGGGGTTGGCCTGTTCTCATTTTTACATGGCTTATCCTTCATGAAAAAAGAAAGAACAAATTCTTGTTATTCAGTGAATGCTCAGATATGCAACCCAACCATATTTCCCCTGCTGCACCTCAGGGGGGATTAGCCAGTGGACATATCTGTTTTATGGTTGAATTTTTGTTTCATGGAAATTTGAAAAAATTGATGCTATTGAAGCAGGCTTTACATTCAGAAATAATTCAGACTTGTGACAGATAGTGATTTAAATTACCTCTATTTTCAGTTAATTGATCCTAAACATGTTATGTAGAAAGAGCAGCACAGAGTTATAGAATTGTATTCATTCATTTTCCATTTGTTTTCCTTATCGAGCATTTACCAAGACATACACTCCGGAAAAACACAAGATGGAGAATAATAATCACTGCAACAGTCGTCAGAAAAGACAGAACTACATCCACAGAGTGGTAGATATACCAGGGCAGTCTGTAAGACACTGCTTTCAGGTGGGCTGCACCTTTGTGTCTCATGACAAACTCTATCCAGAAGAGGGCGTTATCCAGGGGCTTTATTGGCTGATCTCGGTGCAGTGTGGAGAGTCTCTGCATGTTGAATCTGTAGGAGGGCTCATTCAGGACTTCCTGTATGGCCTTCAGGAAGTTGTTGTTTTTGTCCACTGTGGCTAATGCAAGAATCTGAGCTGCTCCTCTCTGTTTCAGACGCAGCAGGTTGTCGTATTGGTCGAAAAACACAGGCAGACCCACAACTGGGACTCCGTGATAAATAGCCTCTTGCACGCCATTTGTTCCTCCATGAGCCACAAATAGTTTTATCTTAGGGTGTCCTAAAAGATCATTCTGTGGCATCCAGTCAACTATTAAAGTGTTGTTGCCCAGAGTTGCGGGTCTGTCCCCTTTATGCCTCCAGATCACTTTCTGAGGTAACTGAGCAAAAGTAGCAGCGACCTTGTTTGTTATATCAGCAGGAAGTTCACTCACAAAAGTCCCCAGAGACATGATGATGACTCCATGCTCTCCAGAACTCTGAACAAACTCCTCCAGGTGTTCAGGTAGAGGTTTGGCAGGTTTACACTGGAACCCTCCTATGTAGACAACATTAGGCATGGTGGGACGAGGAAACTCAAACACAAAGTCCGCTCTCATGAGCCACAGATCTGCTCCCTGTAATAAGTTACGATATCTGACTTCTGGGCCGAAAAACTTATCACAAACAGCTTGATACTGAGGGCTGATTAAAAATCCATCCTGAAATTGCCAAATGGCATAGAAAATTAGATTTTTGACTCTTTGTATGAAAGTCATTTTGTCTGTCAGTCCTGAGCCAGTCATTGGGATATAAGATAAAGGAGAAGGTGCAAGGGCCAGATGTCCCTCTCCGCTAGTTGTCCATCGCACGTTATAGACCAGAGGTACTTTAAGAGCGTGAGCCAACATTATACCTGCACCCCATGCCGGGTCAGTAAGGACCAAGTCATACTTACTCTCCTTTAAACTATTCATTAAGTCTTTATCTGTAAACATCTTAGTAGCCATTTTGCACATTATTCTATGCATGTTAAACATTGCACTAAACATCTCAAGCTGCAAACTGGCAAAGCTCAAAAATGAGCTCTCTCCCCTTTCTATATCAAAGATCTTTATCAGGATCGGGTTGATAAAGTCATGATTAAAGGCTTCAGAGACTGGAACTGTGATTGTCTTGTAATGTGGAAATCCGTCCTGGATGTACCAGCTTTGATTGGTTCGTACCACATCAACAGAGTGTCCTTGAGAGTGAAGAGCTTTGATCATGATGTCCATGTTCACCCAGTGGCTTCCTTCTAAAGGAACAATCAAAATCTTCCCTCCATGACAAACTCTCCATGACAAGAACACCATAGATAATAAGAGAAGAAAAGTTGCATTTCCTTGGGGGAGCATCTTTAATCTAAAAGGAAGTAAACAAATAAATCTTCATGCTTAATCACTCTGGATAAGAAAACTAACAATAATACATTTAAATAACACTTTTTTACATTACTGTGATATAAAATTACATGCAAGGTTGATATGTAACATACCTGTTTTACATGAAGTAGGTCCGGGCATGCATGTGCTCAGATGTCAGAGTGAAACACCAAAGATCCCACTGAATGCTCAACTCCAAATTCCAGGAAAGCTTACATAAGTGGATTACAGATAAGCTGTTATTTGGACTTTTTTCTTCTAGATTGGACAACAAGGGGGCCCCTTTGTTGAAGCTGTTGACAGAAATGTCTTAAAGTTGCTTATTAGTACCCCCCTATGTGAATTCTTATCCTTATATGAAGTAGCATGTCGCCGTCAGTGTTTCATATTTATAATCAACAACAAGCTCTTTTTAGTGGAGGATTTTCAACAAAAAAAAATTCCCAATTAAGATTGACAGCCTTTGATCCTTCGTGAAAAAGCCATGGTGGTATATATAAATAATATAATAATATAATAAATAGTGTTGTTTTCCTCAGATCAAAATAAGCAGCCTACTATTACCAGAGTGCACTCTTATTTTAGGTTCAACCAGAGAGTTCAATGGCTATATCTGATAAGAAAAGGCACTCCATCAGTAGCACTGACTGCAATAAAGACTGCATTTATTTTTGCCTCTGAGTAAATGACTAATCAAATATACAGATGTGAATTGAATGTACTGGGGTTTATTTCCACCTCAGAAGTTCTCCACTGTTTTGAATTCCATGCAAAAACTTTTTTCTATGAAGAGGGCTGGTATGAAGTAAGTGACTGAGCCAAGAAACAAATGAAAATGAGCCTTCACTTTCTGCTAGACTCTTCTGAATTTTTACTCCCTTTATTCTTCTCATCCATCTTTGTTTGGTTTAAATAAGACAAAAATGCCTTACATTTTTTACAGTGTTTGTTTTTGTTTATCATTTTATATTTTATAAATTTATAATCTCTCTATATTGAGTGTAGAAGTAACTTTAATGTCCACATTCCATGGTTACCATGTCCATGCTGATGGTGCCTTTGTTGATTTTTTCAGCTGTAATGTCAAGACATGGCCATACAGGGGCAGTGCAGGCTCAACAGAGGCTGTGCCGCTCAGCTGCTGGAGTACAGAGAGACTTCCTGGTTCTTGCAAATGTGGATGGAAGTGTAGTGAAAATACGGCTCCTTTATTACATTTCTCGAAATGACATCATCTGCATGCACATCAATCAAATAACAAGACAGTTTTGGAGTTGTCACAGGACCTATGTTTCACATTTGATGGAGGTACGTCTGTGCTAAGCTACAGTAGGCTAAAACATCCTGGACCCACAGTATCTCTGTCCTGATCTTTTACCAAGATTTGTCTTACAGGCCTAATAAACAATGTGGGATTTTTCCTCAGGCTAAAAGGAACTATTGCCTTAGAAATTAAAGTCCTGGCAAGAATCTCTCCTTCCCACGCACAGCCTAGTAGAGTGAAGAGAGAAACTATTAAACCAGGTCTGTCCCTAAATAGTAGTGTCTGACTTGTGTGCACTTCTCCAGAAACTTTAAGAACTTTACAGACTGATGCTTATGCCAGGATATGTTAGGGTGATTTATGAAAATAGAACTTCGGAAAATCAAAGTTGAACAACCCATTTTATTTGAATTATACCCCATCAAGGTGTATTGGATTTAATTGAATTTAATTGGTATTTATCCTGTAACTGGCATAAGGGTCGTTAGTGAGGCATTCATCCTAAATGATCCTGTGAGAACATGTTTTATTGACAGTTTGTATCTATGAATCTCTGCCAGACCAAAAGATACATTTCCACTCTTTGATGCCAGCAATTATAGTTCGTGAAATGAATGTATTGAAATTTATTGATGAATGAAATGTGGGCAAATATGCCTTTTTCATCATATGTAGTACATCAGTCGAGTCTTTTCATTTACATTTAAACAAAGTCAATTGTCTCAAATTCAAAGTCTCTCTAAAACAAAAAAAAACATGTCTCTGTTAGATATACTCAGCAAACGAGGTCCCCAGTCTGTAGCTTGATCTCGGGCCCAGCTGTGGCTTACAGAGTGATGGTGGATAAGTAGAGCAGGACCGTATCTGAGCTGTTATCTCAGTATCTCAGTCAGTCAATCTCAAATAAGACCCATAATGAGCTGTTAATGTACTTTGCCTCTACTAGTGGTTGGTTGAACGGTGGTTCTTAGAGGGTACTTCCAGCATGGTTAGGGACGATGATGTTGGCCCATTTGTAAATAACCGGAATGAAGAGGAGAGCAGAGCCCAGAATCGACACCAGGAGGAAGGCCCACAGAAACATTCTGTCTAAAACCTGGGCTACAAACTTCCAGTCTTGTACCACCTGAAACAAAAAGGACACACAAGTCAGTCTCTAGATACATACTTAATAGTCATGCATACGCCAGACTTGGATCATCTATGTGGCGAGTGAGTAACATACAGTATTCCTTCTCTTGAGGTTTTATTACAGCCTTTGTCATAATGTTGTTTTGTTTAATATCAGAAAAAAGTATGGGGTCAAAACCGATTGCTGTTAACCATTTTAATTACTACTTATGGATATACAAAAACACAAAATCCCAAATACTTACCTCTCTGACTTCATTTTCTTTAACCACATGCATGGTTATGTAGCGAATAGAATCCAAAGCTGCTTGTAGGTTATGTCTGGTGTAGAGGAGAGATGTCAGTTCAGGTGCTGAGTCCTTCAGATCTCCTGTTCTGGCCACTCCACCTGTGGCGTAACGGTCCACATGGCTGCGCATACACAGCAGCTTAGGCAGCCGATGCAGGAAAATCCTCCTCACCCAGGGTGCCATGCCATGATGTGTAGAAGAGGAGCGATGGTGGATGTTGATGGCGAAGACAGTGATGATAATGGAGAGCGTGACAAAGATCATGGTGAAGACCAGGTACTCCCCAATGAGAGGGATAGCCTTCGAAGAGGAGGGGATGATCTCCTCAATGACCAGGAGGAAAACTGTGAGCGACACCAGAACTGAGGTGCAGAGAGAGATCTTCTCACCGCCGTTAGATGGCAGATAGAAGACAAGGATAGTGAGGAAGGAGAGGCCAATGCAGGGGATGATGAGGAAGAGGGTGTAGAAAAGAGGCAGCCTGCGGATGATGAAGAAGTAGGTGATGGTGGGATAGGAAGAGCTGCCATCTGTCCTAAGACTGCGGCTGCCTGTGGCCTTCACTATCTCCCATTCACCGTTGTCAAAATAGTCCCGCTTGTCCACATGGAAGTCCTCCAGAATTATGTCCACCTGTTAAATACAGAGTGAAATCTTCTGTCAAACACTGGTCATGACTAACACTAATATACTGAGCATGTACTGTGGAGTAGAGACTCACCTGGGAGCCGTCATATGTCCAGGAGCCAAACTTCATTGAACAGTTCTGGAGATCAAAAGGGAAGAAGGTGACATCAATGGTGCAGGCAGACTTGTAATTGGCTGGTGGTGTCCATGATATGGTTCCATCATACTTAACAACGGCCTTGGTGACTGTACCTTCAAAACGCCCATCTGAACTGTTAAAAAAAATAACATTAGCTTATATAATAGTCAAGTGAACTTCCATTTCATTTCATCTGTCAGTATATCAGTATGACGATCCTATACATTTTGGAAAATATCAAATGCTTGACATCCATGTAATTCCCTTCCATATATATGTTGACACATACTTATCATAAAGAACAACGTCAGGGAGCCAGATCCTGTCAGAGGGGACTCGGATAATTGTGATGCCCAGATAGTCGTCAGGGTTCCATCTGAGTTTCATGTCAATCCACTCCTACATACAGGAAACATTGAAAGTGTAATAAAAACTCATTTTTGGAAAAATATGCTCATTTGCGAGAATTCAGTATTGATGACACTCACTCATGTCTGTACACTAAGAAGCTTCAGCCAGTAGACATGTGACTGGTATCAATCTTCTCATCTAACTTTCAGCAAGAAGCAAATAAGCGTATTTTCCAAGATGTCAAATGTTTCGTTTAAATTGGTATACTCTGTATGTGCTTTTTGCAAGCATGCAATATTTCTCCCAGCTCCAGAGGAGAATACATATAAAGCAAATACAGCAAAATGTACTGTCATTAGATTGCTAACAAGCAAATCTATTTGATTTGGCTTAGACTTCCTATACATGGTAGTAGTCTGGAGGGTAGCCAGTATGTGAAACAATACAGTATTAATTTTCTAAATCAAAAAGGTGACCTCCGAATTAAGGAGATAAGATACAATTACAAAATCTGACATTCTTTCCCCTCTGCAAATGACATCTGTGATAGATAGACATCGCTATTGGGGCCGCTGCCCTTCCAGTTTCCCATTTGCATGATGCAATCCATCACTGTGAAAGGGGGCAACTGACCTGAATGAGTCTGGTCTGTGGGGATAATCCATAAGATACATGACAGGACACTCAACATCATGAATAAGGCTGACAAGAGCAGGTAGGGGAGGAGGCGGCTTGTGGAGAAAGGTGCGTGGGCACAGGGCTGAAAGGACTCATATAGGCTGGTGACACACTGGTGAAATGCCACTAGATCAGATTAAAAAGGGTTGTGGAGAGCCTGACTGGTTGTCTAAATGTCATGTATGCCAGAGTTTGCTATAAAGTATTTCCACAGCCATAAAGTAACAGTAAAAGCCATACACTAACAACATAGCCTTCATGTTTACTGATGATGGTGAAATGTAATGCTGCATCAGTTGCATAGGTTAGATGTATAGCTCTACTTGCCTGTTTCATCCACACATTGGTGGTCATTCGCTGATTTTTTTCATCCTAGAATGGTGAAACAACAAACCAGTTCAAATTTCCATTTAAAAAGTAGCTGAGTTGAAACATCTTGCAACAATTTAAATGTAGTAGTATTCTGTCTTTCAGCCCTACTAAGTTGTACATTCATGTAGTCTACTGTTGTTAACACCTCAGTTGCACAATGTTTTAAAGAGTTCGGTCTAGACCTGCTCTATTTGAAAAGTGTCCTGAGATAACTTCTGTTATGAATTGGCGCTATACAAATAAAATTGAATTGAAAATTGAATTGAATTCATAAACAATATCAATGACCAGTCCTTTTCTATCCTCACCACATCAACTAGCTGGGAGATGGCCAGTCCAAACTTCACACGGATCGTCTGGTTTAGGTATTCCACTGGGCGAACCCATTTCTGGTAGTTTCCAAAGAGGTATTTGAACAGCTTATCCTCTGCTTTTGCGTAGGAGGAGAGTTTTGGAACCCCTAAAAGGTGTGAAAAGACAAAAAGGTTGAAAAGAAAAATCTAACTTGTAGATAATTCAGCAATTTTTTGATTTCTTCAGTAGTTCCATGTAGACCATGCTCTCAAAGAGCACTGCATTCCCCTCTCTGACCTCACTACAGTGTTTGTGTCTAGAGTTTCTGGATATTATTATTATTCTCTGTGGTAAAGCTTGGGTTTCACAAGACAGAGAAACCAAAGCTTTGACGCAAACACACACTGAATATATACAATGGTATTTAGAGTCCTTAAAATGTATAATGTATGAAAGGACTCATGAATTACAAAATTATTAGATTTGACACCTGTCTGCTATTCATCAGTAACAGAGATAGCAGGCAACCTTTACCCAGTTTCTGTAATGGAGCCATTATGAAAAAAGGATATGTAGCAGTGATGAGGGGAGTGTATTCAGTGTTGGGTTAGTAAGTTTTTATATCATTTAGCTGCTTACTGTCAACTAGAGCCAACATAATCTCTCTTAAATTAAATACATTTCTCTTAGTGATGTACACTAGTATCCAGCTACCAGTCAGGATTTCCAGTGTCTTTATTTTGGCAGTTATTACATCAAAACAATCCATTAGACAAAGATGTATTGAATAATTTTAAACTTCCTATTTACTGCATGTCCTTCCTCTATTATCACAGTAAGAAACTGATGTGCCTAGTTATCTGTTTTGCACGGTGACTCATACGTGTTGGTGACTGTAAATAATGCAGGCACCCTCAGTTCAAGGGTCATCATTATGAAATCACTGCTTACCACTGGGTCTTTGGAGAATACGTGTAAATGTAATAAAAGGTAAATAAAGGGTACTGTAAATGGGACAAATGTCAAAAAGGTCAAGAGCAAAGCGTCAAAACAAAACTTAGCGGTAGCGATAAAGGAGTAGTTGTATGTTCACAGCAAAATGTGTCCAGATGTTTCTTGGACTGACATGTAACAAAGTGCTGATTTTAATAAAACATTGCCCTTTCAAATATATGAAGTGCAGATACAAGATGAGTATGACTGGCCACTTTTTCTGAGTTTTATATTGCAGTGACGCTGTTTTAATCCCAGTCAATCTGGTGTATTGTTTTTCTGAAGCATGGCTCCGCTACAGTGTAGAACATATTGATCACATTCTGAATTACACACATTTCATTTCATCCCGCCCTTTAAAGCATTAACCAACCCAGTTATAAACTCAATTTATGGATGGAGAATGTGGCTTGAAATCTACCACAAGACTGACCACAAATGTATGGTGTCACCCTCTCAGTGTGTGCAGATCAATAAAGACAAGGCTGCAACACCCTCAATCAATGACTGTGTGATAAGCAAATTTATCATCTTTTCACCATGTACCCACTATCACCGGCATCTTTCTTGACTTGAAAGCAAGCTGCAGAGTCTGCTGGATTTTATATGAATCTGTTTAAGCGTATGTTAAATGTAATGTGTAGAGTCAGGGAAATATTTATAGAAATAAGATCATGTATGTGCTATAAGGTAAAGAAAATGCTGATTTACACCTCATTGTAAAATTAATATTTAATGTTAAATCATTTCTGCATTTTCAAGGAGACCTGAGTCAATATTGGCTGCTATCTGCAGTGGGCAGCATGACAAACAGCAATTAAATATAAATGAAACATATAATATGCAATGGATGTAGACAGATGGCGGGATTACGATGAGACCAAACTAAGATTACATGTTGTGCCAAATATGCAAAAGTCAGCCTTTTCTGAAAGCTCAGATATATATAAGACTTGACCCTTCATTATACAGAAGTGCCTTAAAACCAAGCAAATATGGGCGCCTCACGTCAGCCTCAAGTGCTGTGATGTTATATTGTTAATACACACTAGTTTTCACTCTAACATGAACAATGCTGCTGTCTCACAACTGTGCTGAATTATGCAGTGAAGTGAATGCTCACCATGGGAATCTTTCCCATCATTCTGCACCATTTTCCTTGCTCTGTGCTATTGATTCTGCATTATATAGCATGGAAAACCAATGGTAAATCCCCATACAATTAAAAGGATGAGGTCCAACTTTTTCCTCCTCATAAGTTTTTGGTTAATGGCTTTCTGGACTTAAAGAGAAATTGTGGATGCTGAATTAAATTCCTCAGCTGTCTTTCACTTATTAGCTATTAGAAATGTACTGTTTATTCAATAGCTGGATAGTTTTCTTACTTTTGGTGCACTATTCTGAGCGCAGTTATCATGGCTTCCGTGCAGCTAAAATCAATTTCCAAAAAATGGAAATCAAACTGTAAAATTTGATATGAGAAGGTAAATGGTCACACTGACACCAATACTTTTTGTTTGGCTCTAACTTGGCAAGCTCTCTTCACCGACCATCTGCCAATTTCTACCTCTTTCTCTGCTTCTACATATCTGCTTGAGTCCATCTTATCTTTGATTATGCCATCTGTCATACTGAGGCTATTACATTCCACCTAGGTAATTTGATGAGGCATTCCCGGTCCTTAGGAAACTTACGCAGCGAGTGGCACAGGTGGCAGCAGCACAGCAGCGGCAGCAGCAGCAGCAGTGCGAGAGAGGTGGCTGCCCCTCCTGCTCTTAGCATCATATCAGAGGTGGCACTGGATCCACACAGCTGGTCCCTCTGGCATCACAGAGCTGGAAAATAAACATCAAGAAAGGTGGTTATTAAAAACATTAGCTTTTGTGTACACTGGGCAAAACAGCTGAGCTATTAGAGCATGGCTTTAATCATGCCTTTGGTTTAGGGTTCAAATCCCAAGGCAGCCGGTTCTCCTTTGGTAAAGCTACAGTTACAGATTTCAGTGAACAGGCTGTGTAAAGCAAAAGAAAACCCCATCCTGATGTCGTTCATACTAAATAACAAACTGCATTAATCACACACCTTTTATAAACAGCATCCTGCTCAAGCCAAGAATGCACCCTCCTCTCACCTTGCTAACCTGACCCTCTCCAATGCAATTCATTTCACACAGTAAGCATGCAAATGCTGTATACATACCTGCTCTGAGTCAATTCCATTAACACACGATCCAGAGTGGTGGTGCAGGCAGTGGGAGTCTTGACGACAGCGACAGTGCTGCTCTAACGCTCCTCCATTCCATGCAGGTTCCTTCTCTCGCCTCATACAGATGCTGCTTCCCTCCCTGCTGCCTCCAATTGTGAACAGGCAGGAGGGCACCCCTCCTCTTCCTTCAGTGAGCCCGCCCTGTATCCCCCAACCACCAACCCAACCCCCCCTCCCTTCTTCCCTTCCTCTCTAGCATTCTCATGGTCACTAATCATAGACAGGGACTGTCGCCCCCTCCATGCAGCCATCTCACTGCCTCTCCACAGCAGCATCAGGGAATGGGAAGAGCAACTCTGCCACTAAGATTCTACCTCTCATTTTCACAACAGTTAACTGCTTGTTATATGGTGTCCACAGCCACATATGATGACACATTTTGTACCTGTAATTCCCCTAATTTGCTCTGTATGTGTGAATGTGTGTGCTTCCATGGTGATAGCATAATGTGAAAGCCAGAGATGTTGTATGGGATGGGGGGGGGCAATCAATATCCAGCTTGTGTTGAAAAATCAATTTGCACAGTCACTTCTGAATATTTAGTTTTTTTGCTTTTTCTTTTGAAGAACAGATGGCCATATGTTATTAAAACATAATATTTTTATTAAAATATTATAAATGAATGCAAATATATTATAATATAAATACAAAGGTCAAAGTTTAAATTGCAATCTGTCTTTCGAATAAACATTGTTGAATAACTCATGTGATATAAAGGATTAAAGAAATTATGGCTAAGAATGACCAGCAAGGCTAAAACTGAATTAAAAGCCTTGGATAATACTTCAGACTACTGTCATTAATAAATTAAAGATCATTCCATGGCAATTTGTTCCTGAAGGAGCCTTTTAAGGCTTTCAAAACAAATCCTGTTGCAGCAATATAACTTGTTCTCTTTTCAATATTGCATGCATGGAACAATGTTCAATTTTACCAACTGTATATTGTATAAAATCTGAAAATGGGAATACACTGCAAACAGACAATGTAATATTAATACAAACATAAGACATGCAATAAAATATCCATGTAAAGAATTCAGCTTAAAAAAGAAATGCTGATATCAAATTGATTTTAATGTAAAAAATCCAACCATAGGTGTAATAAACATTTGAAAATAAAATATCAGCAAAAAGAAGCAGTAGCCTACACAAGGAATTATAGTTTCTAATTCTGCAACACCTTGTAGCCACAATTCTACAGCCAGGCAATAACAAGATGTGTGTGTCAATAATGGTAATTACATTTTATTGTCATCACTCAATGGAGGTTAGGCTACTTACCGGAGGCGGAAGGAGTGACTGAAGACAAGAAGGATTAACTTTCAGATGCTGTAACGCTGCCAACTCAGGGTCGCTGACAATTTGGGTTGTACTCTCAAATTATAGTAGTCAGTACAAAGACTGCACTGGAACAAAGCCAGAGAAAGCTGATACTAGCACAATTTAAATTCCATTTTGTGTGTAGATTGTAATCCTTTATTCATGCCAAGTAACAAACATTTAGTAGACAAGATCTCCATCTTGTCATCTTGTTTTTGGTCTAATAAGGTTGGGAGTCCGGTTAAATAAACATACTACTGCACATTACTTTGGAGTTTTGCCACATTACACAATGAGTAAACATAAGAGTTTACTGTCGCTAGGTACACCAGAACTGTTGTGAGGGATGTTTTTGTCAGTCCCACTGTTTTGAATTCAGCCCTGCACCGTCCACAGTTCTGCTTTAATAGTAGGAAGCAGACGTGCAGCACAGCCAAGAAAGATTTAATGTAAGTTTGTTATTTATAGATTTGTTTCTTGTATGTTAGTGATCTTGTCATAAGATCTGTAAATGTTTTGATATACAGAGCAAACCCACAGCCGTACTGGAAAACTGAAAAGTAAATATCTCAGGCCTGTTTTCTAGCTTTTGAAAGATAAATTTTATAATTTTACCAAATCAGGTTGATGACACATTTAAGGATCATGTGGTAAGGAAACTGAATGTGGTCTTTTTTCCTGAATTACTGCTGAGTGAGTTTGATACAAAACACATTTTTTCATTCAACAACACTAACCGCTCTGCTGACTGTTTTGTGAGATGTCTGTATGAATGTTTTTGCACATGTCACATATAATGTCTCCTAGTAAATCTTGTTGAAATGTTAATCAATCTGTTAGTAAATTACACTGTATGTGGTGCAAATATAAAACCCACTGTTATCTAAGTGACACACATCTTGCTATATATGTATACCACTTTTTCTTTGGCTTTGTATTTTATGATATCAGTAGTTCCATGAATGAATAAATACAAAAACTGAAGCCACAGGGCCATAAACACGTTTTGTACCATACACTCTGAATGCAATAATCTTGAATATATTCAACACAGAGTAGTTCAGAGTATGCCAACATATTGCTTCTTAATGTTAGTGTACTGATCAATCAGTAACTTTCTTATCAGTAGTGTCTCCATACAGAGTATTGCCTGTTAGTGGCTCCACCGCCATCCTAAACTGCTCCTCCGTTCAGGATTAAAGTCTGGACTTGCCAACTCTGGCAAATAACCGCTGTAAAAAAGCAGTTCTCTAACACTGTGACTTTTCCTGTGTGGAGTAAAAATACAGACTACATTAAGTAGAAATGCTTTGTAATGCTAGTATACTGTATGTTAATGAGATTGTGATGCTGACTTTGCTGCTCAGTCAGTTAAAATCGGGAAGATTGGTAAAGTATTTTGCAAAAAGTAATGCTTTCATACAAATGAGCTTTAACTGATGATTTAATTAACAGTGTGGGTGAAGGCAATCAGACCCAATGTATTCGACTGCAGATGTCTTCTAAGTGCAGTTAATTTACTTTAATTTACATCAAAGTGACTTTTACTAGAATATATTTATAGAACTTTTTTTTAATATATATATTTCTCGATAATATTTTTATCATAGTGCAAAAGATGGAGGTATACAAAGACATTATGAAGGTAGGAAATATTCAGTTGACTAAATTAAAAAAGAAAAGTGAGCCTATGTAGATTATCACAGTACATTTCTGCTGTAATGGCATTTTTTCACCTTGGTCCATTGATTGTCCATTGTTTTCCTTTCAGATGAGGCCGATCTATTGCTGCAGTGTTTTGCTGTTGCTTGCCCTCATTCCCACAGCCTGTCAAGGGGGCAACATCCTGGTCCTTCCTACTGAAGGCAGCCACTGGATAAACATGGATATCTTACTTCATGCTTTGCACTCAAGAGGACACAATATAACTATTCTGCGTTCCAGCAAAAGCTGGTACATCAAGGATAAATCTTCTTATTACGATACCTTTACAGTTGAAGTGGAGAGGAGCTTAGATCAGAAGTTCATAACAGAAATCATATCTAAGGTAATTGAATTTGAAAACTTTCTCCATGTGACTATAGGAATGTTCAGCACATTTGTTGAAGCACACACAAGCATAGGTGAATTTGTGTCAGCGATGCTAGGTGATCAAGAGTTGATGAGGAACTTGAAGCACAGCAAGTTTGACCTGGTGCTCACCGACCCCTGCTGGGGTGGTGGAGTGATTTTGGCCAAATATTTGAATCTCCCTTTGGTTTACAATGTTCGCTGGCTACTTGGTGGAGAGGGTCATCTTGCTATTGCTCCTTCACCTTTATCATATATTCCTATGACAGGATCTGGCTACACTAATAAGATGACCTTTTTTCAGAGAGTTATAAACATGGTTTTGAGTCTAGCAAATGATGTACAAAATCACCTGCTGGTTAAGCAAATATACCAGAAAATATGTGACAAATATCTTGGGCCCGATAATGACTATAACAAGCTAGTGCTTGATGCAGACCTTTGGCTCATGAGAGTGGACTTTGTGTTTGAGTTCCCTCGTCCCACCATGCCTAATGTAATCTATATGGGAGGGTTTCAGTGTAAACCTGCCAAACCTCTCCCTGAACACCTGGAGGATTTTGTGCAGAGTTCTGGAGAGCATGGAGTCATCATCATGTCTCTGGGGACTTTTGTGAGTGAACTTCCTGCTGATATAACAAACGAGGTCGCTGCTACTTTTGCTCAATTACCTCAGAAAGTGATCTGGAGGCATAAAGGGGACAGACCCACAACTCTGGGCAACAACACTTTAATAGTCGACTGGATGCCACAGAATGATCTTTTAGGACACCCTAAGATAAAACTATTTGTGGCTCATGGAGGAACAAATGGCGTGCAAGAGGCTATTTATCACGGAGTCCCAGTTGTGGGTCTGCCTGTGTTTTTCGACCAATACGACAACCTGCTGCGTCTGAAACAGAGAGGAGCAGCTCAGATTCTTACATTAGCCACAGTGGACAAAAACAACAACTTCCTGAAGGCCATACAGGAAGTCCTGAATGAGCCCTCCTACAGATTCAACATGCAGAGACTCTCCACACTGCACCGAGATCAGCCAATAAAGCCCCTGGATAACGCCCTCTTCTGGATAGAGTTTGTCATGAGACACAAAGGTGCAGCCCACCTGAAAGCAGTGTCTTACAGACTGCCCTGGTATATCTACCACTCTGTGGATGTCTTTTTGTTCCTGGCTGGAGCTGTGCTGCTTGTACTTTTAATCCTTTTCATTTTCATCAGGTGTTTTTACACTACAGTGTGTATACATAAAGTCAAACATGACTAATCCTTCAACAGATATACATTTTGTACATTAAACTTACAGAAATTTATACAACATCAGTATGAAAATAGATTTTGATTTAGCATTTTTACATTTTGTTCTTAAGCAATGGCATTAATTTTATGTACTGTATTTTAACAACTGTATTTGTATAAACTTAATACATTTTTCAAAACCAACACTGTACAAATAAACAAATGTAAATTGAGTTGTACTTGATTTGTCCCAGAGCGGATATTTATGCTTTGTATTCGACCCTTGTGCAAGAGCAATGGCAGGAGTGCTCCTAATAACAGTCTCTTTAGGCTCATGGGAACAAAGATAGACCACAGTTGTGTTTTAAAACCAGATAAACAGCTAAAATATGTTTTCAGATGCATTACTTCATGTTTATTCTGTGTGTAATGAGCCATTTTCAGTTATATATATACATATTTGTGTTTGTTTGTATTTTTACCTCCAACCAGCAGGTGGTGTATCTTTTGTTTAACATAACTGATGTAGATGCAAGAGGTCAGTGTAATCACCTTCAGGTGTTGCTGCTTTGTGTTGAGTGAGAGCTGCCAGTGCCAATGACCAATTTCTATTTATGGTCATTTAATGGGCAATCAAGTCATTTGAATCTGGGAACAACACATTTGTTTAACGTACTTGTGACATGCTGAGCCACAGACTGTGGCCATATACAGTTGGAACATTTTAAATGGAAACATTTGACAACACTGGAACAGAAAATGGTGAGCTAAAAAGAACTGAAATATTTATCTACGGTTTATTTATTGCAAGCACACGTCACCATTAAATCTCATAGTAACAACCTCTCATCTGTTTTCTAAGAGTAGATCATCTGTCATAGCAGCATGTTACACTTCCTTTAACATGAGTCATTTGAGTACAATAAACATTTTTCCCAAGAGGCGGGTCTCCACTTCAAGGATGTGCACAAGTTTATACAAGTACCATGAATATAGACTTGATCAACGCTTGCCTTTTATTACACACCTGTAGGACCTTGTCCTCGTCTTCCTCTACAAGAGACGCTTTATCAGTCTCTTGATTCAACGATCATCATATTATTTTGATTATGTTCCACCAGGAGAGTTTTCAAGGCCTCCTCTTTCCCCTTTAACTTTTTGACCCAGGAGGGGAGGTGAGACTCTGGCGCCGACAGTATCCTGCACCGAGAGCCTGGTTCTTTTCAGATTCTCAGATGGGATCTCTAGGTTTCAATTTGCTTTATCCTCTTCCACAGATCAGAACGACACCCTACACCTAAAGTGGATCGTGTGTGATACTTGAGTGCCCTTTTAGTTGTAAATTCCTATGGAATAGACATGGAGTGTGTTTGCATCTCCTTGATCTAAATTGTATCACCTCCAGAGAGAAACTCCTCTGGAATCCACATCTGGTATTCTGACACCCCTTCCTCTAAAGTGTAAATTACGATGTTTTCTTTTGATAGTGGACATTCCAATCTAGGAAGCAGTAACAACAGTTGCACGGATATAGATTTAGTTCTGTTATAGTATTATGTTAAAATTTCCTCTTCTCAAAATTAACAGATTGCCATCCAGCATGAGAAGATCGCAAATGTAATGTTTGTCTGATGTTTCTGTCTTCAGATTGGACTAAGTTACAAAATCATGTGTAAAATGCTTGAATGTGTGATGGAGCCACAGTGCCACCTTTTGGTAAGATTCTGGTATAGCGTAAGGTATCTTCAAAACAGATTTTGTTTTATAGTTGTGTATTATTCCAAACGGTAAATGCCTGACACACAATTTTATAACACGAATTAAGCTAACACTATATGAAATATGTACAATCCATTAGTGTTGTTTCATATGCATGTTTGTGACATTTTAACTAGGTCTGCTTTTATTTTTACATCAAGTAATTTCGATTATGTTATGTTAAAACATGTAAACTATGTATTGAGTCATGGTGGGTTCTGTGAATGGTGAATTAGGATTTCGAAACTTTAAAACACGATAGAAGTGAGTTAATAAAGTTACGAATATCGAAATATCGCTAAAGGAAGTGACGCGATTAGCCTTTCCGGATACGCCTCCAAACTAAAACATATATAATATAGACTCCGATATAACTTAGCTCTCTCTTACTTTTACATTCTCTCTTACTTTTACACTTCCAAACTCTCTTCTTAAATCTACGTTGGATCCATTCGTTATTTACTTTCGTTCTACTTTGATTTCGTACGTTATTTTACTTCGTTTGAGACACGTGTTGAATTTTTCCTCACGTAATAATTAGCGGCGCTGAAGTACTTTTAGTACTTTTATTTTGAAGGCTCAAGACACGAACACAGTTAATTCTTTTATAAGTTTTAGTTTATATATCTTGTCAAGTATTGTCGCCTGATTCACAGAAAGTGAATTTAGTTTAATTCTTGGACTTAGTGACTACAGAGGATTCGCAAGGCCAGCGTTTCGTCCTACAGTTATTTTAGACCAGAAGTTGGATTAGTTCATAATCAAAGCCAAAGACCAACCACTCTGAGGAACTTTTCTTAAGACATTGATCACAAGCCAAAAGGACATCACCGTGGTTGACCGCTCAAGGAGACGTATAAACGTTTCAGCCGGACAAAGACATTATCCTCCAGACTACCTGCCTCCAACGCACTCAAAGCGCCAAGCCGCGCTGGGCCTTGGACTGGAGCGCTTGCCACTGGTATCGGTGACGACACGTTCTTGGACCTGTGATTCTGAACAGCAGCCGAGCAGTACCAGCCGGAGGAGAAAGATCCTGAAGTCCCTCCATCTCTACAACAAAGTAGGCTGAAACCCACATACCCTGCCGGGGTCCCACACACTTCCCAAGAGTTGGTGTCTGTCTGTGACCTTTGATTCCCATAGTTTGAGCTTAGAAGAATTTTCGATTAGGGCCTCGTAGTCTTAAAATTTACTCCCGTAATATTCTAGGGTTACTGCCGTATCGCAAAATCCACCATCGCTCCTGAATCACCCAATATTAATAATTCATTTACTGTCCACATATTCTGTTATTTGTTGCTATTTGTTTACATTATCATTTCATGTTATTTACGCTTCATTAATTTAGTTAATAAACATATATAACCGTATGTCCTTGTCGGTGCAGGTTTGATTTGATGCGGGGAAATCGATGAATCGTGTAAAAGAAATCACTACTTCAGAAATATTGAGATTAAATATAGATTTTGAAATTTGATAAATTGATTTGATTAGATCTGTGGAATAATTTCCTCCGGATTATTCTAGTAGCTAAACAACGGAGGTGGTGCCCCATTTACGAGTGTATTATTAATCACTAGTGATTAAATACTAATAATAATGGAAAAAGTAGTGTATCCCCTACACACCCAAAACTCAGTAAGTTATGTTTTAAGTGTATGTGTCAATGTTTTGACTGTTGACTGAAGCTTTAGCTGAGTGTGGATTACTTTGGAGGAGGAGAAGGAGGAGTTTTACTTTATCAGTGAACTTCCTTAAAGTGTCGTTAGATACGCCACAACTGTCGTTAGGGGTGAGGCAAATGTTGCAACAGAAAAAAAGAGAAAGAAGAAAAGAAATCAGGAAGTGTTTTTGTCAGTCCCACTGTTTTGAATTCAGCCCTGCACAGTCCACAGTTCTGCTCTAACAGTAGGAGGCAGACGTGCAGCACAGCCAAGAAAGATTTAATGTAAGTTTGTTATTTATAGATTTGTTTCTTGTATGTTAGTGATCTTGTCATAAGATCTGTAAATGTTTTGTTATACAGAGCAAACCCACAGCCGTACTGGAAAACTTAAAAGTAAATATCTCAGGCCTGTTTTCTAGCTTTTGAAAGATAAATTTTATAATTTTACCAAATCAGGTTGATGACACATTTAAGGATCATGTGGTAAGGAAACTGAATGTGGTCTTTTTTTCCTGAATTACTGCTGAGTGAGTTTGATACAAAACACATTTTTTCATTCAACAACACTAACCGCTCTGCTGACTGTTTTGTGAGATGTCTGTATGAATGTTTTTGCACATGTCACATATAATGTCTCCTAGTAAATCTTGTTGAAATGTTAATCAATCTGTTAGTAAATTACACTGTATGTGGTGCAAATATAAAACCCACTGTTATCTAAGTGACACACATCTTGCTATATATGTATACCACTTTTTCTTTGGCTTTGTATTTTATGATATCAGTAGTTCCATGAATGAATAAATACAAAAACTGAAGCCACAGGGCCATAAACACGTTTTGTACCATACACTCTGAATGCAATAATCTTGAATATATTCAACACAGAGTAGTTCAGAGTATGCCAACATATTGCTTCTTAATGTTAGTGTACTGATCAATCAGTAACTTTCTTATCAGTAGTGTCTCCATACAGAGTATTGCCTGTTAGTGGCTCCACCGCCATCCTAAACTGCTCCTCCGTTCAGGATTAAAGTCTGGACTTGCCAACTCTGGCAAATAACCGCTGTAAAAAAGCAGTTCTCTAACACTGTGACTTTTCCTGTGTGGAGTAAAAATACAGACTACATTAAGTAGAAATGCTTTGTAATGCTAGTATACTGTATGTTAATGAGATTGTGATGCTGACTTTGCTGCTCAGTCAGTTAAAAGAGGAAGATTGGTAAAGTATTTTGCAAAAAGTAATGCTTTCATACAAATGAGCTTTAACTGATGATCTAATTAACAGTGTGGGTGAAGGCAATCAGACCCAATGTATTCGACTGCAGATGTCTTCTAAGTGCAGTTAATTTACTTTAATTTACATCAAAGTGACTTTTACTAGAATATATTTATAGAACTTTTTTTTAATATATATATTTCTCGATAATATTTTTATCATAGTGCAAAAGATGGAGGTATACAAAGACATTATGAAAGTAAGAAATATTCTATTCAGTATTCAGCTTGCAACTGCAAACATTTTGGGTTGACTAAGTTTAAAAAAGAAAAGTGAGCCTATGTAGATTATCACAGTACATTTCTGCTGTAATGGCATTTTTTCACCTTGGTCCATTGGTTGTCCATTGTTTTCCTTTCAGATGAGGCCGATCTATTGCTGCAGTGTTTTGCTGTTGCTTGCCCTCATTCCCACAGCCTGTCAAGGGGGCAACATCCTGGTCCTTCCTACTGAAGGCAGCCACTGGATAAACATGGATATCTTACTTCATGCTTTGCACTCAAGAGGACACAATATAACTATTCTGCGTTCCAGCAAAAGCTGGTACATCAAGGATAAATCTTCTTATTACGATACCTTTACAGTTGAAGTGGAGAGGAGCTTAGATCAGAAGTTCATAACAGAAATCATATCTAAGGTAATTGAATTTGAAAGGGGGTCTCTTCCCTTTGAGAACTTTCTCCATGTGACTATAGGAATGTTCAGCACATTTGTTGAAGCTCACACAAGCATAGGTGAATTTGTGTCAGCGATGCTAGGTGATCAAGAGTTGATGAGGAACTTGAAGCACAGCAAGTTTGACCTGGTGCTCACCGACCCCTGCTGGGGTGGTGGAGTGATTTTGGCCAAATATTTGAATCTCCCTTTGGTTTACAATGTTCGCTGGCTACTTGGTGGAGAGGGTCATCTTGCTATTGCTCCTTCACCTTTATCATATATTCCTATGACAGGATCTGGCTACACTAATAAGATGACCTTTTTTCAGAGAGTTATAAACATGGTTTTGAGTCTAGCAAATGATGTACAAAATCACCTGCTGGTTAAGCAAATATACCAGAAAATATGTGACAAATATCTTGGGCCCGATAATGACTATAACAAGCTAGTGCTTGATGCAGACCTTTGGCTCATGAGAGTGGACTTTGTGTTTGAGTTCCCTCGTCCCACCATGCCTAATGTAATCTATATGGGAGGGTTCCAGTGTAAACCTGCCAAACCTCTACCTGAACACCTGGAGGAGTTTGTGCAGAGTTCTGGAGAGCATGGAGTCATCATCATGTCTCTGGGGACTTTTGTGAGTGAACTTCCTGCTGATATAACAAACGAGGTCGCTGCTACTTTTGCTCAATTACCTCAGAAAGTGATCTGGAGGCATAAAGGGGACAGACCCGCAACTCTGGGCAACAACACTTTAATAGTCGACTGGATGCCACAGAATGATCTTTTAGGACACCCTAAAATAAAACTATTTGTGGCTCATGGAGGAACAAATGGCGTGCAAGAGGCTATTTATCACGGAGTCCCAGTTGTGGGTCTGCCTGTGTTTTTCGACCAATACGACAACCTGCTGCGTCTGAAACAGAGAGGAGCAGCTCAGATTCTTACATTAGCCACAGTGGACAAAAACAACAACTTCCTGAAGGCCATACAGGAAGTCCTGAATGAGCCCTCCTACAGATTCAACATGCAGAGACTCTCTACACTGCACCGAGATCAGCCAATAAAGCCCCTGGATAACGCCCTCTTCTGGATAGAGTTTGTCATGAGACACAAAGGTGCAGCCCACCTGAAAGCAGTGTCTTACAGACTGCCCTGGTATATCTACCACTCTGTGGATGTCTTTTTGTTCCTGGCTGGAGCTGTGCTGCTTGTACTTTTAATCCTTTTCATTTTCATCAGGTGTTTTTACACTACAGTGTGTATACATAAAGTCAAACATGACTAATCCTTCAACAGATATTCATTTTGTACATTCAATTTACAAAAATTAATACAACATCAATATGAAAATAGATTTTGATTTAGCATTTTTACATTTTGTTCTTAAGCAATGGCATTAATTTTATGTACTGTATTTTAACAACTATTTTTGTATAAACTTAATACATTTTTCAAAACCAACACTGTACAAATAAACAAATGTAAATTGAGTTGTACTTGATTTGTCCCAGAGCGGATATTTATGCTTTGTATTCGACCCTTGTGCAAGAGCAATGGCAGGAGTGCTCCTAATAACAGTCTCTTTAGGCTCATGGGAACAAAGATAGACCACAGTTGTGTTTTAAAACCAGATAAACAGCTAAAATATGTTTTCAGATGCATTACTTCATGTTTATTCTGTGTGTAATGAGCCATTTTCAGTTATATATATATATATACATATTTGTGTTTGTTTGTATTTTTACCTCCAACCAGCAGGTGGTGTATCTTTTGTTTAACATAACTGATGTAGATGCAAGAGGTCAGTGTAATCACCTTCAGGTGTTGCTGCTTTGTGTTGAGTGAGAGCTGCCAGTGCCAATGACCAATTTCTATTTATGGTCATTTAATGGGCAATCAAGTCATTTGAATCTGGGAACAACACATTTTTTGAACTTGTGACATGCTGAGCCACAGACTGTGGCCATGTACAGTTGGAACATTTTAAATGGAAACATTTGACAACACTGGAACAGCAAATGGTGGGCTAAAAAGAACTGAAATATTTATCTATAGTTTATTCATGCAAGCACACATCACCATTAAATCTCACAGTAACAACCTCTCATCTGTTTTCTAAGAGTAGGTCATCTGTCATAGCAGCATGTTACACTTCCTTTAACATGAGTCATTTGAGTACAAGCTTTAGCTGAGTGTGGATTACTTTGGAGGAGGAGGAGTTTTGCTTTATCAATGAACTTCCTTTAAGTGTCGTTAGATACGCCACAACTGTCATTAGGGGTGAGGCAAATGTTGCAACAGAAAAAAAGAAAGAAGAAAAGAAATCAGGAAGTGTTTTGAATTCAGCCCTGCACAGTCCACAGTTCTGCTTTAACAGTAGGAAGCAGAAGTGCAGCACAGCCAAGAAAGATTTAATGTAAGTTTGTTATTTATAGATTTGTTTCTTGTATGTTAGTGATCTTGTCATAAGATCTGTAAATGTTTTGTTATACAGAGCAAACCCACAGCCGTACTGGAAAACTGAAAAGTAAATATCTCAGGCCTGTTTTCTAGCTTTTGAAAGATAAACTTTATCATTTTACCAAATCAGGTTGATGACACATTTAAGGATCATGTGGTAAGGAAACTATGAATGTGGTCTTTTTTTCCTGAATTACTGCTGAGTGAGTTTGATACGAAACAAATTTTTTTCATTCAACAACACTAACTGCTCTACTGACTGTTTTGTGAGATGTCTGTATGAAGGATTTTGCACACGTCTCATTTAATGTCACCTAGTCAATGTTTTTAATAGGTTAATCAGTCTGTTAGTAAATTACACTGTATGTGGTGCAACTATAAAATCCACTGTTACTTAAGGGATGCACATCTTGAAGTATACAACTTTTCTTTAATATCAGTAGTTCTAAAACACAAGGTCCCATTGCATTTTTAAAGCATATGGTGCACTGACTGTTAAAGCTAAAAATACAAGAATTATACAGTAACTATTTCCTGTTGATAACACTGCATTGCACTAAGGACTGATGCAACAAGTGTCTTGAGGGTGTAACAAAAGAAGGAACTATTTTTGGGTGTTAACTATCTGGCAAAAGAGTTTGTTGACATGAGTGCCAGGAATGTTTTCACTGCAGGCATGACATTTATATATTTAGTTTTCAGTCTATGAGAAAGGAGTAAGTGATTTTGGTTGAGTTATAAGCAGCTGTTAAGTACTGAAAAGTACATTTGTCTGTAGCTTTTTCCAGCTCATGTTACCAAGTGGAATGGTGATTTTATTGAATGAAGTCCACTGTTGAAGGAGTAGACATTTGATCAATAAGGAAAATAGGTACATGGGATTTGTTACACAGGGATTATGTGTTTTCTCAGATGGAAGCTCTAAAATGTTGCTTTTTTGCATGAACACAGTTACGGTTGTAAAAACACTTCTGCTCAGAGAGATTGTGGTTCAACACAAAATGCATGCTGAGCTCTTGGCACAAAACAGCTCTGTAATTTCCTGAGAGAGGCTCCATGTGCTACACCCACGTGAGAGCAGTCAGACGGAATTGTTTCACACATATACCCTTGTGCACATTTCCTGGAATACTTTATTAACAACTGTCTCCCCCCCCATTCTATTTGTTTTTCAGACTACACCGTTTGAGAAGATTCAAAGATGTTTTTCTCATTGGCCAGCATCATCTTTCTGTTCGCTGTCATTATTCCGGCTGCCCAGGGTGGGAAAGTTCTGGTTTTTCCACATGATGGCAGCCACTGGGTGAACATGAGGGTACTTGTTGACGAACTGCATTCAAGAGGACACGCTGTGACTGTCATCCGGGCTGCAGACAGCTGGTACATCAGTGAAACGTCTCCACATTACAATACTGTCACAGTAGATGTTGCTGGTGGTGCAAATGAGGATTTCTTTCGTCTCTTTGTCTCTGAAGTTATTAAAATTAAGCGAAGCAAGGGGTCTGCATGGTCCCGTTTTGCTTTAGACATGGAGCTTAAAAACAAGTTCTTTGAATTACACAGGAAAGTCTGTGAAGTGATTATTGACATATTTGAAAATAAAGAATTAATTAAATCCTTTCAAGACGCCAAGTTTGATGTGGTTTTGACAGACCCTGCTAACGGAGGAGGAGTAATGCTGGCTCACTATCTTGGATTGCCGTTAGTGTTTAATGCTAGATGGACTGTTCATGGCGAAGCCCATTTTGCTATTGCACCCTCCCCGCTTTCCTATGTCCCACTTCCACCTTCAGAACTAACAGATGAAATGACTTTCTTTGAGAGGGTCAAAAACGTATGTTTTTATACCATGAGGATGCATCTGTACAAGCAGGTGGTTGGGCCACATTATTCTGCAGTGTCCAGCCGCTACTTTGGCCCCGAAGTAGACTACTTCTCCCTGTTTCAAGCAGCAGACCTTTGGCTCATGAGAGTGGATTTTGTGTTTGAGTTCCCTCGTCCCACCATGCCTAATGTTGTCTATATGGGAGGGTTCCAGTGTAAACCTGCAAAACCTCTACCTGAACACCTGGAGGAGTTTGTGCAGAGTGCTAAAGAGCATGGAGTCATCATCATGTCTCTGGGGACTTTGATTGGAGAGCTTCCCCATGACATGGCTGATGAGATTGCTGCAGCTTTTTCCAGTTTACCTCAGAAAGTCATCTGGAGATATAAAGGTGACAGACCAGCCACTCTGGGCAACAACACTTTACTAGTAGACTGGATGCCACAGAATGACCTCCTAGGACATCCAAACATTAAAGTATTTATAAGTCATGGAGGAACAAATGGAATATATGAGGCTATATATCATGGAGTTCCAATTGTAGGCATTCCTATTGTATTTGATCAAGCCGACAACCTCTCCAGACTGAGGGCAAAGGGCGTTGCAAAGGTAATGGATGTTTCTGAATTGGATAGGAAAATATTTCAGAAGGTCATACAGGAAGTCCTGAATGAGCCCTCCTACAGTATGAACATGCAGGGACTCTCCAGGCTGCACAGAGATCAGCCAATGAAGCCCCTTGACAACGCCCTCTTCTGGATAGAGTTTGTCATGAGACACAAAGGTGCAGCTCACTTGAGAACAGAGTCCTATAGACTGCCCTGGTATTCCTACCACTCTGTGGATGTCATATTATTTTTACTAACAATCGCACTATTCATTTTGTTGTTTTTTGCTGGGTTAGTATGGTCATGCTTAAGACTGTGTTTGAAAAGAAAAGTGAAATCTGACTAACCAGGAAAAATGGATTGATTAATTTCATGTTGGTTAATGTATTGTTATATTACAGTCAGTTTGGCTGTGATCAGTTGAAAATTGAAAGGAGTAGTTGTTGATATTTACTTTTGTTCATAATCAAATGAAATCTGAAAAACTACCACAAGACTAGTAAACCCCCTTGATGAAATGAGCCAAGATTACAAAGTTCAACTCTTCTACACTTGATTTTACTGTATACTACATTATGCTAAAAGCTGTTAAAGGATCCTGAATAATAAAAACTTAAATTGTCAAAGGAAATCGTAACAGTGTGCACTGTAGGAGTGGAGAAATACCATGTACTTTTATTTCTTTTGTATCACCCAGCATAGGTTTGTGCTGCTGAAAGGCCAGCCTCTCAGTCTGTTGAAATAGAGGTATTAAAGGTCCAGTGTGTAAGATTTAGTGGCATGTAGCAGGGGAGCTGCAGATTGCAACTCCCTCACTTCTCGCTCCCCTTCCAAGTGCAAAGGAGAAACTCCTTCTGTTCTGGGTTCCTAAATATTACACACTGGACCTTTTTTAAAGAGAGAAAAGAAGGAAGGAAAAAAAACTGCTCTAAATGAGGATTGTTGGTTCCTTTACCAGCCAGCAGGTTATGTTGTTCAGGCATGTACAGTATTTTAGGCCATACATATAACAAAACAAGTTGGTCACACTATCAAGGCATGTTGCATAGATCTTTTCATGGGAGACTGACATGAAATCTTTCTATATGACTTAACACTTCTAACAGACTTCTTTGTTTTCCAGTCATGCTAAATAGTTATTAGTGGGTTAAGCATTACACATGAAGAACAATTTTCCTTCTCTCCCCTTTGTACATTCTCATCACTTGTGCCTTTAAAAACATGAAATAGCAGTGCTGCTCTGGTTGGAACCTGGAGCGACTAGTATGGATTCTGCTCTCTCCTAGCAAAGGAGATATACTGAAAAACAATTCATTAGATACCAAAAAAGGTAACGTGTATCTTTATCTTTTGCTAAAATAAATGACTGATGGTAATCTTGGGGTTTGAACAACTGCATAGTTACAAAAGTAAATTTTTAACTGGCATGCAATGTGTTTTCTTGTTTCAGTAGTTTAGATTACACACTGTAAGTAGCATCATACATCAATAATTAGGTTAAATAAAACGTAAACACCCTTTTCTAACTTGTTATTAAGCTTTCATTTGATTTTGTGTGATAAAACTAATTACAGCAGGCTACACATACTGCTGCAAAAAATGTAAATTATAAAACTTTTAAATAATCAGTCATATAAACTGTATCGTCTATATTTAAGTAAATGATGATACAATTATGCATTTGATCAAATATAATGTTCTTCCCAGCTTCTGAATAAAAATGCATTGGCCCTGGGTTTGGATCACTCTCTGCTTGCTCTGTCCAACTGTGGTTTATGGTGGGACAGTTCTTGTTTTTCCCATGGATGACAGCCACTGGGTGAACATGAAAGTCATTATTGAGGAACTGCATTCAAGGGGCCACCAGGTTTCTGTTATGCGATCATCCAACAGCTGGTACATCAAGGAAACCTCCCCTTAATACTTCAATTACTTTATAGACTCGGGATTTGATGAAGATGGTTAAAAGGTAAAAGTGACATATACTGTCACATCTTAAACTAGCTTATGTTAGCTAAATGTTAACAAACTGAACCCCGTTGCCTCACCCATCAATTGGAAGAAAATGGCAAAAATTGAATACACTATTTGTATGTTTTCATGAGTGTATAATCACCTGAAAATATGGATCATTGTGTTTTCGTTACATTAGAATGAGCCCTTTGTGTCAACAGAGGGAGTCAGTTGTCTTCCATGGAGCCCAGAACAGACAAAGGGAAAACACTGACTCTAGACAGGGCCTTACACATCATTTCCAAGGTTTCATGGTCACCATTGTTGTGTATAGGTACACTTAGAAGGGGAACGTGAGACGAGAGGTTCAAATGGCTGCGATCTGCAACCTCATTGCTTGATGCCACTAAATACACTGGACCTTTAAGAGCTAAACACTATGGCTAAGTTTTACCACCCTTTGTACTTTCTTATCATCTGTGCGTATAATAAAGTAAAATTGCAGTACCAAAGTCCTTCTCAGGTTGAAGCCTTGGAGGACAAGCACGTACATTCTACTCTCTCTCTCTCTCTCTGGAAAAGGAAGAATATTGAAAAACAATACATTGAATACCTAAAAAGGTAACATTAACATTTTTTTTTCCTGCCGATATAAATGACTGCCGGCTATTCTGGGGTTTGAACTACTGCATAGTTATAAAAGGTAAACTGCCATGCAATCTCTTACACATTGCACATGCAGCTTGCTAGTTAGCTCTTACTGTACATGTTAAAAGGTCTTGCATGTGGAGAAAAACTGAGTTACTGTATACTATCTAATCTAATCTAAACACCCTCTAAATTATATAACTTTTAAATAATCAGTCATATACATTGCTTCTTCCTAGTAAATTATAAAATTATGCATTTAATAATATGTATGCTTTCTTCTCAACTTCAGAATAAAAATGCATTGGCCCTGGGTTTGGATCACTCTCTGCTTGCTCTGTCCAACTGTGGTTTATGGTGGGAAAGTTCTTGTTTTTCCCGTGGATGGCAGCCACTGGGTGAACATGAAAGTCATTATTGAGGAACTGCATTCAAGGGGCCACCAGGTTTCTGTTGTGCGATCATCCAACAGCTGGTACATCAAGGAAACCTCCCCATTATATACTTCAATTACTCTCAATATAGACTCTGGATTTGATGAAGACTTTATAACTGAGTTTGTGACCCAGTTGATGGAAATCCAGAGGGAAGGGAAGTCTGCCTGGACACGTTTTAAACTGGAAATGGAACAAGCACAAAAATCCTCTGAGATAAATGAGAAAACAAGCAAAATGCTGGAGCTTCTTTTTGAAAACAAAGATCTGATACAGTCACTACAGGATTCCAAATATGACCTTGTCCTTACAGATCCTGCTATACCAGGGGGTGTTATACTTGCCCACTATCTCAGGTTGCCCCTTGTTTTCAATGTCAGATGGACTAGTCATGGTGAAGGCCATTTTTCAATTGCGCCTTCTCCTCTTTCTTATGTTCCAATGACAGGGACTGAGCTTTCAGATAAAATGAGCTTCTTTGAGAGACTTTTTAATGTAATAATTTTTGGTTTCACAGAATATCAAATTGCACACTATGTCTTACCAAGTTATGCTGGCTTAATTGAAAAATATTTAGGTCCAGAGGTAGACTACTTCTCCCTGTTTCAAGCAGCAGACCTTTGGCTCATGAGAGTGGACTTTGTGTTTGAGTTCCCTCGTCCTACAATGCCAAATGTTGTCTACATGGGAGGGTTTCAGTGTAAACCTGCAAAACCTCTACCTGAATACCTGGAAGAGTTTGTGCAGAGTTCTGGAGAGCATGGAGTCATTATCATGTCTCTGGGGACTTTGATTGGAGAACTTCCCCATGACCTAGCTGATGACATCGCTGCAGCTTTTGCCAAATTACCTCAGAAAGTGATCTGGAGATATAAAGGTGACAGACCCGCCACTCTGGGCAACAACACTTTACTAGTAGACTGGATGCCACAGAATGATCTTTTAGGACACCCTAAGATATTACTATTTGTGGCTCATGGAGGAACAAATGGCGTGCAAGAGGCAATCTACCATGGAGTTCCTATCCTAGGACTTCCATTGATTTTTGATCAACGTGACAATCTATTTAGAATTGAAGTAAGAGGAGCAGGGAAGATAATGGATATTTTTACTATGAATGAAGACATCTTCTTTCAGGGAATTCAGGAAGTCCTGAATGAGCCATCTTACAGGTTGAACATGCAGAGACTCTCAAGGTTGCACAGAGATCAGCCAATGAAGCCCCTGGATACCGCCCTCTTCTGGATAGAGTTTGTCATGAGACACAAAGGTGCAGCTCACTTGAGAACAGAGTCCTACAGACTGCCCTGGTATTCCTACCACTCTGTTGATGTGATACTCCTCTTAGTTGGAGTTGTGTTGATTATTCTGGGCACCTTTGCTGTCTTAATAAGGTGCTTATGCTCTGTGTGTCTAAGAACCAAAAGTAAATCTGATTTAAAAAAATTAAAGTAATTAAAAGACATGAAAACAAAACATTGGCTATTTGTTTTGTGATTTGATGTGCATAATAGAATAATTTTAATACTAGTTGCATATTGCAATATAAAGGAATATCTATCATCTAAAACTTGGTCTGAAATGAGTAAAAAAGACAACACATCAAATCAGTCAGTGCTTTGTAATTCTTTATTTTATCAACAAGGAAGAACAAAAGTTTAAGGATGATTATATTTGATTTGCTATATTCTTACACTATTGTTATTTCACAAACCCAGTGCTCTGGATAAACAAACATGTTAACATGCAATTTTTCTTTTCTTTTCTTTTGAACATATTCTAGTAATGGTTTCACATCACACATTCAATACGCTTGTCACTATGAATATAGATATGCGAACCCTTGATATGAATAGTCTTACATCAGTCCACACAGATAGAACTTTAACCTTAAAGAGAAGGAGCTGTCAAAATGTACTGTAACACTGTTGTTTTAGAGGAAATAAAAGCATTCAAAAAATGTCCAAAATATGTCGGTACTGTTCATGAATTTGTCCTCCATAATTAACCCACACTGGAAATATTGTTCCATGTATGTTGTTTTTCTTTTCTCTGTTAGCTCCACTAATTTGCAAGGCTTTTCAAATTTACCCACACTGTATCACAATATACTTATATACTACATTTTGAAATGACTACATTCTTTTTCCTCACAGAAGTGAGGATTCATGTTCTTATCTCGTTCAAGCCAAGTGTAGGCTTGTATGGATTTAAACATATCCAATTTCACACACAAAGCTTAGAGTGACACACCGAGGCTATACTGGGCCCTTATATGCTTAAATCCTTGCTATATCTTTTACCTGTTGGTATTTTGTGTTATGGACTATTTTTTGATACATCAATCTGTTGTTTATACAACACATTCAATTACAGTCCATCAGGTTTAGTGTTGATGAGAAGTCCCTCATTTAAGTCTGACCATCTGACTTAGAAATTTCATTCTAGAAGTCAAACAAATTGAAATGTTTGATGAACAACATAAAAATATTTTGTGTTTTTCAACATGTTGAGATAACGAATTCCTTTATATTCATGTATATAAAGGAATTTTAAAGATATATAAGGTTCCATTGGTTTGTAATAGTATTTATAAATACACAATTTGTTCTAGTTATGGTCTAAAATGGCATGCACATGATAAAAAACAACTGTTTTAGTTTTGATATATTTCTCATGTCTCTTTAACTGTCCTCTCATGATATGGGGTTTGATTACAACATTTCACAAGATCTGCAACATAGTTATAACACATTTAGTGAAGGGCTGGGCAATATGGCCTAAAAATCAAATCTCATATTTTTTTACACTACATCCAATTTTCGATTTTAAGTTATTGTTGCTTTGTTTGTCCTAGAAAATGAGTTATAAAGGACACCATATCTTTGGCAATGTGAAACACCATCTAATGTCTTATCATTGGGCCCCATGTTGTTTGTAATAACTATTTTAGACAGAACCCCTTGTAATATACAGTAGTATCTGTGGCTGAAGAGAGTTGCCATTGTTTTTAAGTCTGCCTGTCCCATAGTCCCTAAAAGTGTCCCTAAATCCCTGGTTGAGGGTATGTCTCTTGTCTTTTGGAGGGGAAATCCCTGCTACAGAAAGGTGAGACAGCATTTGTCAAATTACCTCACAAGAGTGATAGAACTGCTACTCTGGGTGAGAATAATTTACCATAGAGGTCATCCAAAATCAAACAGTTTATTGCTCATAAAGAAAGTAAACTTATTCAAGACTCCTTCGAGCCCCAGTAGTGGGTCTAAATTTGGTGCCCGATGAATATGACACCCTGCTGAGGCTACAAGTGGGGGGAGCTGAGTGGATAAAGACAACAATTTCCTCCAGGCCATCCAGGAAGTCGTGAATAAGCCCTCCCACAAGATGAACATGCAGGGTCTGCCCCAATTTCTACACTTAATGGGCTTAGCTGGTACTCAGGCAGTGTTGTAAATAACAAGAAATACAAGTCGGAACTACACTACTGCTGTCAGGTTTTGGCAGACCTGCAGAGAATCTCCAGGATGCAGAGAGTACCCAATAAACTCACTGAACCACAGTTTCCTTTAGATAAAAGCTGTCCAAAAACACAAAGGTGCTGCTCACCTGCAAATATACACACCATATTTGTATCCCTCTGTAGACACCTTGTGTTACACTAATTATTCTGCAGATTTGTTTTAGTGAAGGGCCCTTATTCAACTGTGCTAAGGTATTGAATGTGTGGCATTTAATACAAACCCATTAAACGTTGAAAGGATATTCCCAATGTTACCATTCATTGCTATGAATTTCAAACAGCAGTATTTGTAATTCAAATTATTATTTTTTTGTCCAACAATGTATTGGTATTTGTAAAATTCACTTGCTAGAGATGTTACAGTAAAACCTAGTTTCATAACTGAGTTGATCACACATAAATTCCCAAGACTGTCAGTTTACCACGATTGTGGAAACTAACATGCTATTATGACATGACTGTACAAAATCCCTGAGGGTTTTACTTCAATAAATAAATTAGTTTATTACAAAACAATAAAAAAACATACTGCAAATACTGTTATATAATTTGTTTCTACATCCTACTATTGGCTGGTAGCAGCCATGATGCAAATCATTACGTACATGGTTTTACATCTCTAGCTGTCAAACAGGTAAATCATTAGGAATATCAGTTCAGTTTGAATCATCACTGTTAGGTAGGATTAGACATGACTTGGGTCTGACCCTACATAAATCTGGAGACATTTGCTACCCCGGTGGGAAAACAAAAATATTTCAAGTGAAATTTCACTTTGATGGAACATTTTCAATTTTGGCACACACACCTCAAACAACGGAACAACTAATATTAGTCAGATCGATATTAGCTGCCTGGTGGATTGTCAATATAACTAATACAAAAAGCACAAAAAAACTTGAAATACTACAAATGAAATACTATTTTCAAGGTATAAAAAGTTCAGAGTAAAAGAGCAGTACTGACTGAGTTTCTCAGAGCTGCTGGCTGACAATTCATGTCCACTAAAAATTCACAAAATGTGCCAAAATGAAATCACTTTAAAGGAATAGTTTGACATTTTGAGAAATATGCTTATTTGCCTTCTTGTTGAGAGCTCGAGAAGTTCGATATTATACTCATGTCTATATGGTAAATATGAAGCTGGAGTCAGCAGCCAGTTAGCTAGTTAACTTAGCACAAAGAGTGGAAAAAGGGGGAAACAGGTAATTCACCATCTTATGATGGGTTTATACACCGGACTATCTCCTGCCGTAACTTTCTGGAGTATCTGCTGGTTGGCTGGCAATTACTCCCATACATGAAACAGTCTGCCACACAAACCCCCGTAAAACAGCAAATTATTATTTTCGCACTTGGGTTTTTATACCGATCAAACAAACGAGATATAATAGATTAATTTGTGACCTTTAGAGGTGAATTTGTTAACTGTGAACACAGCCTGGCAGGCTGCTTCCCCCTATTTCATCTTTTTACCTAACCCTAACCCTAAGCTAACCGGCTTCTGGCTGTATTGTTTCATATCTACCTGACAGACATTATATTCTATTGATCTTTTCTTATAACTCTTGGCAAAAAGCGAATAAGCAGATTTCCCAAAATATCAAACTGTTCCTGTAAAGATATTAGTCAAAACTAATAAGTTGGTGCTCTAAAATATGAGATGACCACAGGCACCGTTTACATATTCACTGATAATACAGAAAAAACAACAACACCATTTTCATTATGTCAAATTGGTACAAGGGAAAATATTTTCAAATGGCAATTATTGGCAATAGTTATGGAAATAGTAAAGTCTGTTCAAGATATTTACAAAGTGTCTATGCCAGCAGGACAGGTGTGGTGGGCGGTGTAAGTCCTCTCATGATGTCCTGGTCCGTAGAGAGCTCATCCTGAGCACAGTGAGCTCGGCTACATCTGCATCCTGCATCTCCACCTCTTGATGGCAGCTTTCTCTGATTACATACACTACGAGACCCACACAGATGAAAATGAGGAGGATTATGCCTATAACCTGGGGTACACAAAAAGGAAAGCAACACTTTGGTTAGTAAACATACACAGAACATTTTTATTTTTGATTAACAAAGTCTATTAACGGTGCTATATAGTTTCCAACTTGCATTACATTATGGACATATTCTCTCCAGAACATACTCTGAGAGGGAGTTGTTTCCACTCCAATCATCCTACATAATCTTCTGTAAAGTAGAAAATATTCAACTCACCTGAGAAAAAACAAACAGCTGCTGCGAGCGGAGCATTAGTTCTTGTGGGGTGACATCTCCCTCACTAATTGGCTCACACCACTTCTGCGGAGCTGCCTTGTCAACTAGTACAAATCTACCCTCCCAGTCTGTCATAGCACAAGCAAAGTATTGGCCATCGAGGAACAACAATATCAGCCACACGATAGCAGGAACGAAACTGGAGAAGGAAACAGTTTTCCTGCACCACGTATCACATCTGCATCCTTGAATGATCAGCATCAAGGTGAAGGCCATGACGGCAGGAATTATGAAGAATGCTGATGAAAACACTCCGTTCCATGTAGGGTTGCAAGGACACTCAAACTCCAGCTCCACCAGTTTCTCTAGTCCCATGAGGATAAAGCCAAAAGCCACATTTGATACCAGAGGACTGTTGCTAAGTTCATTTTTCAGCCTGGTAAGCCATTGTTGTCTACTTTCCATACTAGATTGACCGAAAAAAGAAGACAATCGTTGTAAAAAGCCCAAAAGAGGGTCCACCGTTGTGAACACATTGGCAACAGCTAAGTGATGCGTAATTAACTCATCCAGGGGTAAGTTTTCCCCTCGGGCAAAAGGCCACACTTCCACTCTGATTGGTTTTGAACAAAGGAGGGTGTGCCGTCTGCTCTGACATTTCTCTAGCTGATTGGTCTGTGTGAGATTTCAGGTGGGGTTACATTTTAAATGTGGTCTCCCATGGACAAACTGGAGGGAGGGCTGTAAAGTGGAGGGAAGTTTGTTCTGCAGTTGAGCACAGACTGGCCATTTGCAATAGTCCAACAAAAAAACAATCATAGAGGTGCAGGCCTTTATGAGGACAAGCCTTTTGACTGAAGTCTCAAGTTACACAAGCTCGACAAAGGGAGGAAATGTTACGATTAAAAAGATATCTAACTAAATAAAGGCCATTGAATTTACCTCATATAAGTTCAAACCTTGCTCTAAATGTATCAAGTGCTCTGGTGTTTTAGGTGCATTTGTTTTAATAGTCTGCAATAAAAAAATGAGATGCATGCTGACTCTTTTTTGTTTTCGTCAACCAGCCACATGAGGTCGCCCATGTAGCAGCACAGATTAAGGATAGAGAGGATTACAGGAGGCCATGTTGAACTTTCAAGGGGATGTGGCACATACAGCTTGAGAACACCAAGGCCACTGATGTGATGACATAATTTATAAATGACCTCAGTGAGCTCAAGAGCATCACCATAATCTCCTCACATTAAAACCTGACAAGAGAAAGTATTTAGGCACTGTGAAACAGGCTTGGAAAGATGTGACTGGTGAAAACTGCGGCTGGATTGCTTTCAGTTCATCTGCATAACCACTGCAAGTTTTTAAATGTAAATCTCGCCTGTCACTTTGTAGTACTGCATAGTTTGTGACAAATCTGACTCGACCACTGGGGATAAACAAGCTGACAATTTATATTTACATTAATGTTTGCATTGCGTTGTTGAAAAGGCTGACACAAGGCAGGTTCAGTAAATACTGTCAGCAGGAACAACCTCCTTCAAATGGCAGATGATGAAAATGTGCACCTGCCACCTCATCAAAAAAGCTTATACGCTTATAAGGAAATGAAGACTGAGGAGGGACATAATAAGTGCACGAGTTCACAAACAACAGCAATTACATACGTGTTATATCTCTCTCTCTCTCTCTCTGTGTGTGTGTGTGTGTGTGTGTGTGTATTTATCCACAGTCGTGAGCGCATAGGGCACGCGCAGCTTGTCGTTGCTGCCGTTGGTGTCCTACCAGCATCTGCTCCTCTTTTTGGACCAGACTTATGTTTCGGCTACATCACTTCCCGCTGGGAATAATTTGTGCGCTACTTTAATTTTAACCAGCGAACCGCGTCCGCGAGAGCGCAAATGCGCATCGGTCTGCGCATCTTTGAATCTTCAGAACTACACTGTGGACAATCTCCCTGACATCCAAGGACCTCTCCTCCGCAATCCGACGAGGCTTCTTCACCGCCTATGGCCGCACATCGGCATCCCTGAGCCGCTGGCCTCGTCCCCGGACCTTTCACCCATCGCTGTCCTCGAAAGGTCTTTGAATCAAGGGAGACGTCTGCCTTTTTTAAAAAATTTTTTATCAACCCTCCTCGGCTGACTATTTTTTTTAAAGAACCAGGTGCTATGCTGGGCCCATCTCTGTAGATCTTGTGATTAATACACGATCTCTCCTCCCACATTCGTCCGACCGAGACCCTGGTACTCTCACCGAGAACCGACAATGCATCCTAACGCAGTGATGCTGGCGGTGGTCCTTCTGTGGAACTTGATGCTGCCTTTCATCTCGGCTCAAAACGGTAAGAAAGCGAATGTGACCATGGCATGATTGTAAACATCGCGTTGAGGGAAAGTGACTTGACTTGTGTGTAGACGCCTGAGCGAAAATGTTTCCAGAGAGGATTTTGAGAATGACTGCGTTAAAGCTACTACTATAGGTAGTTTAACGCATCCCGACAACAAGGCCAGAGTTAGACACCATCAAATCTGATTCAATAACTGACCACATAATGCAACCTTTTACGCAAACTCCCAACTCAGAAAACAGGAAGAAAACTGACGTTGTTGTGACATTTTTGCAAGGTTATTTACTGTCAACTGAGTGTAGTGTAGGTGTGTCTGTAAGGGGAATAAACTGCCACTTTCGGGCTAGAGGAATATGTTTTAAATCTTCCTTTACGGACAGTGGGAAGTGTTGCTGACGGTTGTGCAGTTTGTTAAAGGGGGTTAGGTAGCAGAGTGTGTCAAGCAAGACTAACCTGCTCTGGATGCTGATCTAGAAACATATTATCAACACCAAACACAGGCTAAAGGCTCGCCCAGTGTGTGCTGTAAATAGCTACTGTAAATACAAGGCCCTTCTGTATCACAGTTGCTTGGCCTATGCATCTGTTTGACAAAATTACTCCATTATTATACCACATTTACACTTATGCCAGCCTGTGTGGGTCTTTCCTTCTTACCCAACTGGTTCAGTCTTCATTTTATTTTGCAAAACTAAATGCATAGTCAGATCCTTAGTCCCTTTTTCTGATGTTTGACATGTTTGAGCACCAGATGTTTCAGATTTCCAAATATTCAAAGAAAAGGAAACACAATTTGGTAGATAAGAGATTCAGATCTGCAAAGATTCATTTGTGACTTTAATTTCAAAGGTTCACTGTGCATTAATCATAATAAAAATCACATCATTTGGTTTAAATAAATGTCAGTAGCGTGCTGTTGGGGGTTCCAGGCTGTCCTCTGATACAGCACTGTCCTGACTTCAAATTCCGTTGAATCACATCACCCAGAGGGCCACACAAATCAGCAGCCATTCATGACATGGAAGTGGAGTCTGTTGAATCTTTCTTTTTTCAGTTTTTAAAATAACCTCAATAGGTCCTGTGAACAACCTTGACATGATTGTGAAGATGTTGGTGCTTTAATATAACAATATAATCACTGCCTGTATTCATATCATGTAAGAACCTTCTATACCCACACATCAAGGACCCTGTGTAGACAAATCAATATCGCTGACATGTTCCAATCTCCTTTCAGAGAGATATAAGGCAGAGAATTACTCTGCATACTTAAAATCTTAATGCTTAATGTCCACCCTGTCTTTTCTGTGGGATAATCAGACACCCACTATGCAAGACTTAATAAGAATTTTTTTTGATGATAGGATGAGAAGGTTGTGTAAAGCCTCAGTCCTGCACTGCCTTTAGGGATTTATTTTTGCAAATATTTGAAATGAAAAATGTTCAGGATTACTATATGAGAACAGTTTGTACTATTTTTGTGTTATACTAGTAACATGCAGAAATCAAAGAAGCACAATAAGAAAAATCAAGATTTCTTACAAGAAAAGCAGAAGCAACCTACGTCTTCAGCTTGTGAGGAGACAAAAAAACTAAAACACCACAGCAGTTATGTAACAAAATATTATCCCCTGAATTCCTTCCTTTCTTCTTTGTTAATTTCTCAAAGGTGCTTGAAGTGTGTGCACGCACAGTGAGGCATTCTCTGATCTCGCTATCTGGAAAATCAAATACCCAATAATCCCTCTATTGTTTGATAAAGCTCAAGCAAAGGCATTCCAAACACTTCCTGTGGTCTTTGCCCAGTGTTAGTGCCCACTCACTGAGGCCTAGTTCACAACACAGAAACACACACAAAGAGACACACACATACAGCAAGGGGTCAGTGGGAGACAGACTGGTGCCACCTAGTCACTAAATGTATCTGTGCTGGATCTGTTTTATGTAGAAATCCTAAATTCATAGCTAATCTACAGACACCCTGCATTCATTACAGGGCTGGTCCCAGTTGTAATAAGCTACAGATAGTGTTTAAAACTGTTGGTAATATTCTGATATTTGCTCACACTGCATGCATCCAAAAGCCATTTCATTTCTCTCTCACAGTTCAGATTAAGGGTAATCGGTACATGGCTTCTTATGCAATCCTAGATTCTCTTGTGATATTACAGAGTTCAGGCAGTGGCTTGGGGAGAATAATAATTATAAGTGCATGAAATGTAATCACTGTATCTGGGAAGCAGAGGGAATTCATGCCATTATTTCCTCGTGTTCAGGGAAGAGTAGTCCTACTATAGGTGGCCGGTTTCTGCGACAGATATTCGCAGGACTGTAAATAGCATCCGTCCATTCTGCCTCGTTTCTATTTTTATCACCGAGACACAGCACTGAGAACTGTGGCTTTAAGGTCCTTTTGTGAAAGTGAATTCATTAACTCTTAATGGACGGCCTCCTTGTGCACAGCTGCACAGCCTTCTAAAGACTCGCTAGGTGGCTGTGAACTATTTAAGCTGATGTGATCTTTATGCAAAGAAAAGAAAGACTGTTGAGAAGGTGGCTGGGGCTGACCTGAGGAAGTGCATTTGTGTCTTACATAATTTCCCTCTACGAAGCATGTAGACTGCTCCTGCTGCAAACTTTGCTGCTGTTATAACTACCAGTGTAAGTCGAAACACAGAGATCAAGTCGAGACAACCTTTAGAATAATGAGCCAATATCATTATTGCCATGTTAAAAATGTACTTTTTGTATTTGATGGTTACAGCACTTAAGCAGTTGCTTAAGACTGAGCACACAAAACAGAAAAGATTGCTTCTTGTTAAGGTTACATAATCAAAGTATAAAGACGTGATGTAAAGGAAGATATGCCCACATGTATTGTAATAAGTAATGCAATTCAAGTGTGCATTTTTTGTAAATATGTGACGCTATAATTATTTTTCATGTTACTTATGCATTCTCATCAACAGAGGCCAAGATTGCGTGTTAAGATAAGCATGTTACAGCTCTGTACATACCATTCAATCAGAAGACCTATATTATGCAGCGGCTTTTCTGTTATCACGTTTCTGCCCAGGCTCTGGACAAAGGTACATTCGTGAGTCTGGAAAATATGCTGTAGGACTCAAGCCAGCACTTACACTGAGTCATGCTGGCCCACTGTGAAATCTGATATGGACTGCACTGATTAGGAGCAGCATCACACAGTATAAAGCATACTGCAGGTATATGCTGATGCACAACTGTAAGTTGAGCAATGATTTTTATTTAATAGTGATT